TCAAAAGCTGCCACATGAAGTGAAGCATCTGTTGTGGATGTTTCTTTTATTTCCCTCTTCATTGAACGCACCATGTCCTTTTCTTGAATATGCTTATTTTGATTTGCGAGATCTTCTTCAGTCAATAGAGATTTGGCATATTTTGAAAGCTGGTGCATTGATCACACACATCCTTTTTAGGTCGATGAAACTTAAGATTGAATTTTTCATTGAATGTGCCTAAATAAAAATCATATGATTCAACTGGAGAGCTATTTTCTCCGCACCAAATCTTATACATTCTATACATTTCCCGAACAGTCAGATACTCAGGAAGATATTCCCATTGACTGTCTTTTCTCACATAATGTGATTCAACGACTGGAAACAATTTTATATGAGTAATAATTGGCTCCTCTCTTTCTCTGGTGACCTTGTTGTGGTCACCATCTCTTCCTCTCATATCTTTCTCCAGTGAACCAGCAGATGTTAATTTTCTCAGTGATGTCTCCACCCTTTTCTTGCTTATATTTAGGGTATCTAAAAAAAACTTCTGACACACTTGCACCAACTCATTGCTTTCTGGATTTGAAAAAGTGTAGACTCTGTTGACTTCTCGATTACGTTTTTGATCAGTCTTATTATCTTTTCTTAGTCTACTTCTCATTTTTTGTATTTCCTTGACGTATTTTGTTATAAACATTCGTTGCTTGTCCATGTCGCCTAGATTCCAGAATTGAATATTGATCATCATGCGAACTTCCTCTGATATTTTAGCCGTACATTTTTTTTTACATGAGCAAGACGGTTTGATTTTACCAATTTTTTTGGAAGAATCATTATCAGAGCCAAATCCTCTTTTTCCATGGTTTAAATCCGTTCGTCTTTTGTTTTTCTTCCAAGTTTCAGGCTTTCTTTTCCTTTTCCTAGCCTCCAGCACATCCGGACTTTTACCCTCTGTTGGACAATCTATTGACATGGTAGTAGACAATTTCACAATTTGATTCATATTCCACAGGAGTGACGATCCAGGGGAATGATAGTCCTCATCAAAGTTTTCCCATACTTGACAATCTTTGAGAATTTTTGTTATGAAAAAGCAGCCCTCATCTTTTTCCATTTCTCTTGCACAGGCTGATTCAATAGCATGATATTGTGCCCTGAAAATTTTCTTTCCTGAATAAAGCAGGTACACTTCCTCCTCATTATGCAATCCAGGCTTATTACTAATGGGCTGCATAACACATGCTGTTTGTGGAGTTGAAATTGATGTCAAATCCACGATTTGCTGATCTGTGTCTGAATCACTGTCAGAGAAGTATATTCTCCAGTGGTGTTTATTTTTCTCTGGGATATATTCTGGATCATTGTCATCATTCACTGATATATCGGACTCTGAAAGATAATCACTTTCCTCAATCTGCTCTGAATTTTCTGCTTCGATAACGCAATCTAGCTCTTTTTCTGACAGAGAATATTTGACAAAGTCCCTATTAATTGAAGTGATTGTGTTGTCTAGGAAGAATCTCACTCTGTAAGTGTTGCTGTAAATGCTCAATATTTCACCTCTTAGAATGGAGTTTTCTTTGTGCTGCAATGTTTTGCTATAACCAGGACTTGCTTCATCAAAATACGTTGCATACACAAACACTTCACAGCCTAGCTCTGGGTTTTTCTCACATGCAGTCCAACTTCTAGTACCGCCATTATTTTGTTCAAGAGTCATAATTATTCTGTATTATAATATAGCTGATAACTAAGAGATAGGCTATGTCTCATTCTGAAAAACATTATGGAAAGAGCTTGACAAAAATTATGGTTGAATGCTATTTACAAATTCAGGTAAGGTGTCAACTTGACACTGTCAAGGGAAATGATTTTCTATAGATTTGGACTGAGACAATAATCATATTCTGGCTAGATTTCTTATCAGATGCGATATCTTAACTGAATAAAGTCCTCTGGCTGGTTCACACTGGCCTTGCTTGAAAAATACATTTCCTACTTGAAATTTCCATAATTCTGTAAATAATAATTATTTAAAAACAGCCGTTTCAAAGTGGTTATGGCAATGAATTACAACTCACTCATTCCCTCTACTGTAAACATAAGAAACAGCTAACACTGAGCTATGACTGAGAGCTGGTATGGACTTAGCGCTTTGTATTATATTTATTTCAGATTTTTGGACGGAGCTATGTCCAAAAAACGGACTTAGCCCCAACTTACAATGCAGTTATCCAGAGCTAAGTCCACTAAGTAGACACAGCTCTGTTTAGTTCTCAAATGCCCTAAAAAAGCAGGGTTATGTCCATAGCTATCTTGAGATCTAGAGCACCTAGAGCTAAGGTAAATAGACCAAAATGTAGAGCTAAGTCCAGAAAAATCAGCAGTTGAAAAATGTCATTTTGGGGAAAAGTGGACTTAGCACTGTTTGGTTTTGAGGCGTCGGTATATGAATATTAAAAAAAAAACGAATAACCAACATAATTTACTTGCATTTTTGTAGATACTTGTAATTGGAGTTTGCTCGAAAACTGATGTTCAAAACGTGGCTCCAATTTGTTACATTGTATTTGCAATACCGCACTCTAAGTGATTATATGTCAGTCTGGACCGTAGTTCAACAGGAATAGAACAAGAATAGTTTGTTGGCAAAGAAGACAAATCGCTGAAGTTTGATTCTTTTCAATGAAGAAATAAGAACGCAGCCATTTATCCGAAAAACGCCTGTTTTCAGTGTCTAGTTTTCGTTTTTGTGACATCTTCAAGCTTCCTCAATATAGGGCTGATACGTGATACCTAAAAGACTGCCGTACGCAATCCTAATACCGGTACGTTAGTTAAGATACCGGTATAATTAAATTGTTACGATATGCACATGCTTAAATTGTGATAATGACGTAACAATTGGCGGCATCTACGACACAAAAGGATGAACACATTTAAATTGTTAAATGTGTTAGTATTTATTCACGGTTATAGTTTCACTAATGTTCGGCGGGACATTTGAAATCGTCTCGCGGGCCGTAATTGGCCCGCGAGCCGCAGTTTGGGAACCCCTGATCTAGATGCTTAATCAGTGGATGTGATTGACGAAGTCCTCAAGTTTATTTCCTTACTGCGGTACCAGTAACTGTTGGATTGCCCGATTAAATAGGGTGGTGTAGGTAGCCAGTCTACGGACGATTTCATTCAAACCGCAATAAAACAAAAACCAATATTTCTAACCCGTTAATTATTTCACTGTAGGTGCATTGGCATTTATTCTACACGCTAAACCTGGAATTAACTTTCTATGACCAGGGGTTAAAGCCATACCGTACAAACCACCAAAGTATGACACTCTAAAGACGTATTTGCGACCGAACGACCAGTGTGCGACCATGGCTTTCAAGCCTTGAACATCGTTTCTGCTGCGTCGAGACTAGGGCATACGCAGCCATGCGTGAAAAAAAATGGGCTTCTAATTGCATTTCTGATCATCATATATTTTAAGAACACGGTTATTTCGAACCAAATTGGTCAAATTATGAATAAAGCACTGCATCACAGCAATCAAACAGACAAAAACACGGGGGTCGCAAATTGGTCGACAAAGACATTATCGACTTATTGGAAATGCGCACCCCTCTATTCCCCCTCCTTTGAATGTAGAAACGCGAAACTTCAAAGATGGTTAAAAGAAACACAACTCTACCCACCTGCCAAGTTTCATCTCTTTATCTCTTATATTTGTATGGATTTTCAAGCTTTTTTAAAGGAACAATGGGTAGTTGGCGACATGGGAAAAGGGTCTTTTTTTTTCTTCCGTCGGGTTTTCGGTCGTAACTTTTTTTGTTGTGGCCGCATTTTAGTGTAATTTCGCAGAGCTACGAGGGATAAGTGGACGATAGCGCATGAAAAATATCGTCGCGGTTCGTTAATGTTTTTGGCACTAATTTAATCGATGAAGTTGATAGTTGCAAATAGGTCGTGGCCGCAAAGTGGGTAAGCCACCCTATCTAGGCTAGGCTACTCGCATTTAATATGTCAGTAGACTACCGCTATGTAATACTCTAATACAGCAACAATACCACATATTTGTATTTGCAATGTGCCTGTCCAAAGTCAGTGCTGCAGGAAGTGCATTTATATCTCAATAACTTATCTCAGTATCTTCAAATCCCTGAATCCAGATGATGTTGTTGTTGTCAAAGCTTTGTTATATCAGTAACGTTATATCTGTATATTGAAATGAAAGCAATGAAGATTCACCAAATTTATTACGTTCAGTTGTTATTATTATCATAATGTTTATCATTATTCAGTTATTACTGTATGATTATCGTTATATATAGGTAGTTTCTTGTTTTATTTTGAAGTCTTTCCCCGGTAGAATTTTTGAATTTTTCATTATTTGTTGGATAATTGGATATACAATGTAATAAGTCGATTTCATGGTGTACAAAGTATTAGAAGTGCTGAAATCAGACTTCAAAGCCATCAATACAATGTATCGCCTTGGGTAAATGTTACTTAATTTGCTTTTGAATTTGCTTGTTCAATCTTTATTTTAAAAGATGTATTTGTGCAAATCAGATTCAATTTGTTCAAACCTCAATTTTATTGATGGAAATGAATAGGTTTGATATTTCACTTAGATTTAATTTTTTTGTTGTTGTGAAACCCTCCTGTGAATTCATGCTTGTTTACCAATATATCTGGCAGCAGTGATTAGAGATATTATTGTTCAACTGGTTTTGATTCATTTTCCCGGCAATTGTGGCTATTTTGTTCCATCAATTGCCGGACTTTGAAAGGTTCTGGCGCTGAGTTAAACATGGATATATGTAATTTAGTAATCTGTGAACGTTTAGGATGCCTTAACTTACGGTGAAACATTGTCAGAACGTCAGCCCACACTCGTGTGACGCTAGCCCACACTAGTGGGATGGGTGTGGGATGGCAGCCCACACTCGTGTGACGCTAGCCCACACCCGTTTTTGTCAGGCTATACTATGGGTAACTGGGCCGTGCTTGGTATTGTATTTGTGTTGTGTATATCAGATATGGTCTCTATATTGTCAGAATCACCAAGTTTTTATGTAATAACATTTACAAAGTCAGTAAAATAGTTGGTTAACCCGTTGACGTCAGGCTGAGCGGGTGTGGGCTGGGGTAACCTTGGTTATTAAAGTGATGAGTGGATGTCCAATTACAGAATCCAAAAATTAGACATTCACCTTACTCAGTTACTGGAATCACATTTTGACATTCGTCTACTTTATCAGGTGTCCACACTTTGATCTGCCAGTTTTCAGTAATGCTATTACTGTATTATTTACGGTACAGTATTATTGGTATATTTCCAGAACTCACTACAAATTTCATATCTGTTCTCTGTTGTAATGAGACATTTTTAATTCAGTCAAATCATTCGGTACTGCAGTAAGTCTATCTTCAGATCTAGCCCATTCTTGTTCAGTTAAGTAAATCGCTTCTATTTTATCCTAATTGTGCAACTCCTCCTCCTTTTTGCATTCAAATTGTATGTTTTTCTTTCGCAATTCTTGTTTTGAGGTGTTCAGTTTAGTTTTGTGAACATTATACACCTTGATTAGTAATTCTGGAATAAGCATTCTCACTAGTCACTTGCTCATATTCAAATGCAGAAATGACTGGAGTCATATGAGGGATTCTGAGATTCTAGTGCAGTAGTGATCTGTGGATACCGAACATCTTACTCCATTTCTGATATTCAATATCAGAGGTTGGGCAGTCATTTATCTGTTCATTGACCCACAGTAGAGTTTAGAACTTTGAACTGTAGCATTGCATAGTCATATAGTAGTTACTCTAAAAGCTATAAATTTATTGCTTGAAGAATAAAGATTTTGAATTTGTTCTGTAGTTATTAAGGTAATTCTGTATTTGTTATTAATGGATTTGAATCAATCTACAAAAATAAAGACACCTATTTTGACTCATGAATAACTCCAATAATCTACTGCGAACATCAACTTCTGTTAATGCAATGATTGTCGCTCTGGAACCAGTGGAGTTTATACCCTACGGTCGCCATGCTATTTCTAATCATCCAGGTGAGCGATGATATTACAGTATTACTAATTACTATGTCTCTCTTAGTATCAATTTGCTCCTACCAAAAATTCACTATTACCTACCTTATTAACAATAAGAAGGGTGGAAAAAAGAAAATGTTTTGTATGGTTTGAGAATGCACAAGATTGCAAATACAGTACCGGTAGCTGACCAATAAGTGAAAACAGAAATAGGTAAATGAGAGTTTTTTCTTCGCAAATTGCTTTAAATTTTTCAGGCCATCAGTGTTTGTCATATTGGTGACATCGAACAGTAATCAGTAATTTATTTTATCACCATATAAGAAATACACACTGTACATACAGAACGAGATAAGAAAAGAGAGGAAAATAATGCATTTCAGGGTAAAAAGGGATGCGATAAACCAGCATTGGTTATCGAGCAGCGACACCTATGAATAGTCTAACATTGGGTCATACAAGTTTAAAAAACAAACTCAATATAGTACTAAAGTGAGGAGTCGGACGCCAAAATACTGACATTGGCATAAATATGTTTGAAAAGACCGGATATTTCCGGACTCACTAAGCAAACGACTCCGAACGCCGACTGGCGTTGAGAACTTAATGTAAACAACCTTATGCCACCTACTTCTGGATTATTTGAAAAAAAATTTGATATCCTGTTTTGTTTTATTTTCACAGGCCTTTCTTGTCTTCACTTGCATCAGTCACAAGCTCCTCTAAGATTAGATCGAAGTTTAATCGGTTCTTTCAGCAAAGTTAGCTTGGATGACAGGAATCGGGTATAAATTTTCATATGGATGTATATAATTACGGATGCCATAGTTGTGAATGTTTTTATTGAGATTACAATAATATGTATGTGTATAGGTAGGCCTACTGCATCGGTGTCTTACGTGAATATATATAATCATTGCCTAATTTATATTTATTTAATACACATGTAAATGTAATATATTTGGGATATTTTCAGGTTTCTGAGAGATGGCACCTGCGGAAATATGCAAATGCTGAAGAGGAATTATATATTTGTAAAAATACTATAGTATGGAGTAGAGGATACAAAGTCATCAGTACATATACAATTGATTCACCTGTAATTCATGTAAGATATAATTCCTTCTAATTCTAGCTTTAAGTGGATGTCTTGGATGCAAATTGAATAGGCTTCTACCTTTTTTTTTTCTTGGATGATATTCATTCAATCATTTTGAACAACCTATTAACTGGAACGTTGAAATAACCTGTCAATATGGTGTGATAGGTACTGCACTGTACTTTTATGGTCAGTTAGCACTGTTAGCAGTTTTGTTTTTTAGTCTGGTATCGTTTTTCACTGAATCCTGAATGCCAAAATCAAAGGATCATCATTCCCTTTATCGCTCGGAAGCTCTTTTCTTTTTGAAGTGCCTTTTTATTTTTGAAGTACTGATATTGGATATCAGATCAAAGTCAATTATGGTAAATAACATAATTGGCAGACGTTTTGGGTACAAATACATTATAAAATATATTAATCCTGATGCAAAGTTAATACATTTCATGTTTGAGAAGACCCATGCAACAGAAATTTTGAGCAAATAAGCGACCCCACAAAAAAATAAAATAAGCATAGCCATCCAATAAAATGCCGGAAAATATGGCATATCCAAAAATTAAACCAAAAATGTTTATTGACTTATGACAGGCTATTTGGTGTTCATTTGTGATTGATGGGGAAGATTCTCATATTCATGAATTATATAAAAATACTGATGAACATGGTGAAAATAAGAAAAACGTTGAAGGATTTGTTGCAGTATCTGATGGAAGTTTGCATGTGTTTTCTCGAGAAGGAGACGATTTTGTGACAGCATTGCCATTCCAAGTATGTGTTGTCAGTTGTCAAATTACAAATGAATAGAAATTCTTATCAAGTACCAAGTATCATAACATAAATTAACAGAAATTACCCTTTTCATTAGCCAATTCCAGTGTATTGAAATTTCAAAACATTACAATCCTGTAATTAAAATTGTCCCACGGTCATATTTTAATTAAGATTTACCACTGCATGAAATTTTGGTCAATTTATCGCAGGTTCGAAAAGTATGGAACACTGATTTCGGACTCGTTTTTGAAAGAAATCAGAATTCAAGTGATTCAGCTCCATCAGTATCATCATCAGATAAAGCACTAACTACTGTATTTTGTCTTCAACATCCTTTGCGAGAATTTGCTCCTGTGGTCAAGAAGTTTCAAGGTAGGAAATTTTATTGGTGGTTCATACTATTTAACTCATTTGGGTGCTGAGTAAATTCATACTTTTAATTGAGCAATTGAGCGAATTTATATGAACATTGACTCAACAGTGCCTAAGAGAAAATTACTCACAAGGATCTACAAGATACGAGCATTGTAAACTTTCACAGTTGGGTAGTAGTTTTTTAGGCACCACCATAATTTTATCCCCATTTTCTTTATCTTAAGTCTATTACGAGTTTGGAGACTGTCTGTGTCAACCAAGTGAATTACTGCGTTCGGTAGGACCCCCTATGCGGTCTCGATCTAACTTGGCAAATAAAAATTTCAGAACCCCCCCTTTGAAAATTTCTGTAGAGTAGGCGAACAAAATTAGTTACCTCAATATTGATACACACACTTCTGGATTGCTGATTTTTATTTTGGAGCATTAAATTAAACAGAAAAAAGTCTGCTCAAATATTCAGCATTTTTTAAATCATTTCTCAGGATCAGGATGCTGTTTATTATGAAAACGCATAGTCTGCCTTTGTATGTAATTTCCAATTTGAAATGATGTATGATCCTTGATGATATCTTGATATTTTTTTGACATTTAGGTAGTGTTCACTACATGAATCGTACCCGTGAAAGTGTTGTTTTCTGTGAGGAAAATCTTCTAATGACATTTGACTCGAAACATGGACTGCACACAGTTTGGAAAATGCGAAGAATTGTGAATGATGACATTACTTCGTTAGATAATAATGTTGGCCAACAACAACAAATTCATAATCAAGTGAGCATGGAAATATTTTAATGTTTTGCAGTCTCGATTTTATTGGTAGTGATGACTTTTTTCTTAATCATAGGACAATATTATGCTTATTGTGTTGTTCCCAAAACATTGGGCATCTTGAATATTTTCAATTATCAGATAAGAATTACTTATATTTTGAATTGCAAGAATATTTTATTATAGGGCCCACACACTATCAATAAAATGAAGGGTATATGATACTACATTTTTGATTGGGCTAACCATTGCTTGTAGGGGTTTTCTTCTTTAGCTTTTGCTTGATCCCAAAATAGACCCTAACAATGCTTGTAATATTGGTTAACATTTTGGAATTGTTGCTCTTTCTTAGTCAGAATAGCCAGAAATAATATTTAGTAGAATAGAATGTTCAAACTCATACATTGTGACAGATGAGCAGTAATCAACAAATGACAATCTCAAGTCCTGGAATATCACCAATGCGTGGAAGCTTCAGAGGATCACCTGCCGCTCCAATACTACCAAATATATCTGGTGCGAACATTTTTAATATTACTGTTATCATATTCAAATATTTGTCACATAACCAGAGGAGAGTCTTACTGTTTAAAAATAACATGACTAGTAGAAGTTCAAATGTTCTCTACATTGTTTTAACCAAATTTAACATCCAAATTTATGTTTTTGGAGCATGTTCATATTTTAAGGTATTAAAACTTTCAAGGTATTAACTTTTTTATGTAAATTTAGTCTATAGTACTGACATGGAAAACCACGGCCCGCGGACCAAATCCGGCCCATTGGGTAATTCAATCTGGCCCGCCTGATGCTACCTCAACCAAACTAAAATCAAATTTTGAAGTTTTAACTAAAAAATAGCTCAAGGAATTTGTTGAGATTGTGATTAAATTTAGTTTGTAACACTGTAAATATTGTTCATAAAATGTAACTTCTTACGTCGTACTTACATGGCCCGCCACCGCCAGTTTAGGTGGGAAAAATTTGGTCGAAAAACCTTGCCCACACCTGCTCTATTATGTTCAATTTTCAGCTTTGCGAATTACAATTCATTCCTAAACATCTAAATGACAGACATTCATAATTTATGTTGGTTTGTTTTCTTTTCCAGCTGGTCCGAGTGGACTGCAGCTGCTGCCATCTGTATTAGCTAGAACTCCACACACAAGTCGAAATCCATCATTTGCACATTTATCTCAAACTCCTAATTCAAGTAGATTGTGTTCACCGAGTGTTAACTCAATCAATTACCCAAGGTACTACATCCAGTAGTTCATATTGTTAGCTTGTATATTTATTAATCACTGTCAAAATGGTTTGGTTAAGTTTTGTAAATCATAGATAAAAAGAAAATGGATGACTGCTATTCTTATTTGTAAGGTTGCACAAAAAGAGTGGTATGCTGCATGTCATAAAATTTGCGCATTATTTCGAATTTCGATACACAGGCATAAATGCAATAATACTACTAAACTATAATTTATTCTCTTTCAGTCACACTTTCTCACCTCTTCATCAATCTTCTCACTTCCGATCTCCTAGTGGTCCAATTTCTCATGAATCACTCTGCTTAAATGAAAGTGTGCATGAGTCAGCAGAACCTCTGAGGCCAGAAATTTGTTTGGAACATGTTTGGTCAGAAAATGTTGTTGGAACTCGAGAAGGACTCAGTGTTGGTAGGATAGGATTAGGATTTACACATTTATTCCAGGGGAGAGGAAAGTCAATAAGACGGCTTAATCATATGGCGAACCACGGGCTCTTGTCCGGTTACCAGTCCATGTCGGGTATGGGATTAGTTAGCCAGGTATTTGTTTTCGAAAGCATAGACTTGATGGTGGAGGAAGCCGTAACCGACCAGCGGTTACGTGAACCACCCTACAGCGGCAAGGAGTCCAGCAATCCTCTTCACTCATAACTATCCTCGCATGGGATTCGAACCTGCGAACCCACGAAGGGCAAGAACTCTTTTGTTTGAAGCAGGGCTTGGCAGTAGACGAGATAGAGGAGGATGCCTTCCACCTGAATGAATATGAAATCTTTGGCCTTGTAACTGTTGTAGTTAAACAATTTACACTTCTATATTTTTAAAAAACTCAACAAAGACAACAATCTTTTCAGGTTGTGCGACAAAAGCTTTCCTATCTGAAGATGTTTGCGGACAGAAGTTTTTGGTTTATTACATTGACAATTTGCGCCAGCTTAGATTGGTGAAATATGGTCTGACGAATGATAAATCACAATTTATATTTGGTGCAGTTGTTACATATCCCGCTAGAGATGCCACTCAATTAAAAGTTTGTGAATGCATCTTTATATGTTTTAAATTTATAAAATTAAGATATTCATTTGTTAAAAGTTTATTTAATTTTGTGTGATATTTGCTATATAAGATTATTCTCTATAAAATTGCAACAAGCTGATTTTGTTGGGATTTTTTCTTTGTTTGGAAGTTATCTAACGTAACTTTTAAATATTTTTTAGGATCTCAATATGATTGCTCTATTGGATATGGTGGGAAACGTCATTTTGTACACTGGTACTGTGAAGGTAATATTCTGCTGTTGCGATCTAAATGGGCGTATACATACCATAGTGCTAACTGCTAACCAAATACATATACATATTCTGAAGCAGGAACTCACTCTTTTTTATTTCTGTAGCTATGGTTAATCAAAAAGTCATTATGCAATTCTGAAATTCGCTTACACTTGCTCTTTTTTTTTAATTTTTACCTAATGTCTATTCACTTTACATGTTCAATATGTGTTTCTAAAATTCAAGGAATTTCGTTGATCCCAAAAAATCGTCTTGAGAAATTGTTTAATAAGCTATGTTCTTGAGGATTTCTAATATTGCTCTTCCATATTCTTTTCAGATGGTAAAGATGCATGTTACTGGTGTTCCAATGTCCTCACTGAGTTTATCTCACGGACTGAGGAATCCAACACCTTCTCTTGGTACACCTCAACCTGTCTCTACTCCTGCTCATCCGAGTAGACCCGGAAGTGTATTAGGAAATCTTGAAGAAGTTAGTTGAGTGTTGAAAATATTTTAACTCTTCAACATATTGAAAAAAATATGTGTGTGCTAATTAATAATTGCATTTCAGGTTAACTTGCTCTCACCAGTGCCAGAATTAGCTTTCAGTGGAGATACAGATATTAGTCTTTTGACATTAGATGAACATCCATTTACAAATATTGGACAATCGTCATCATCAGCCATTATATCACTTCCTCAAGTTGTTGGTTCAAGCTTGTTTTTGGAAGTTTCAAACGGGAGTTACTACAAATCAGACATTCCACAATTGTTTACAACAACGTTAAGTATGATTCATATATGAATGACATATTCAGATATCATTTAGTGATATCATTTACATTTGTTTTCATAATTACGCCAATTTCAGTTACATAACTTAATCCCGAAAATGCTGCCGGACACAAGCAAGTAGCGAAGCGGTTCCTAAATCGTTTGTGTTGCGCCAAATTATCAGGGACATGAAAAAAAATTGCTGCCCAAAAATAAGTAAAACTCAATTTTGTGATCCTTATTGTGTACTTTATGCCTATCAAATTTGTGAACATGTAGGCCTAAAGAATAAAGGCAATGTCAACTCTTCTTGTCTCTGTGCTTGATTTTCCTTTGAAATATTGAAAAATCATCCATGCTCGCTAAACTCTGTTCAGCATTTATAGTAACCGCAGCTTGCGAAATTGCAGCAAGTAGTGTGTACCACTATTGTTACGTGACAATAGAGGCAGACACTATATAACAGAAGGTAAACATCTAACATATAACAGAAGATAAAAGGAATTTATAATTCATATAACAATAAAACATTTGTAATGAATACAATATATAAAATATGCAATCATATATTAGTTATGTTGAGGACAATTCTGATAATTTTTGGCGTCTCCTTTGGGAACCAGTGGGTAGCGAACGAGGCAGGCTCCTATGAATGATTGAGATAGCATTCTTTTACAGTTCTTTTGCCCTGAAATGTGCTGGTAATATCTTTTGATCTGCAATTTTGGGTAAAACAAATAATTTTTCATGCTTGATTATTGCAAGTAGCCATGCAAAACTTACATTGTACAATTTTTTTTGAAGCTAACATATAACCCATCTCAACATTTGTGAAGTACCAAAGTTGCACCGTGGTTGTTAATATACCAGGCATAGATGAAAAAAGTTATTTCTCAAAAACACTACAGTTTCTTTTCCTCATAATTGAAAAAAATATGTGTTGTGATAATTGGAAAAAATATGTGTTGTGGACTTGTGGTCAGGTGATTATTGTGAATATCCTCACAATATCTGGTTAGCTATTCCTATACCTTACTAATTGTTTTGTATGTCTCAGTTCTATTAGGCATTAATGGTGCTTTTCTTATTTTTGCAGTTGAAACATGCTTGAAAGCATTGCATCAAGTATTACCAAATCATCTATATTTACAAATAATCATCAAATGGTATTCAATGAGATATTCACCAGGTGCAATGACAAGGTTCTGTTAGTTCTGTTTATTACATATTTATTTATATTTATTAATCAGGCCTTTATATTGGACTGAAACCTATGGGCAGGGGGTATGTTCACTTGACAAACACCGGCAGTCCCCAAACTCGTAAGAGAACTAAAATGAGGAATATTGGAATAAAATTATGGCCTCACCCTAACCTGGTAAACATACTACGGGAGTGCTAATAAATCTATGATCATATTTTTGTTTCAATCTGAGAAGTCCCGTTATTACTTATCGATCTTAAGATCGGTAAGTATATTGATAGGTATTTGTCTGTATGTATGTCTGTCTGTATGTATGTCTGTCTGTGTGTCTGTTAGATGCACGCGATATCTCACGAAGGCGTGGTTGAATCTGCTCCAAATTTTGCATGTGCATTCATCATATCTCGGACCAGAAGCCTATTGATTTTGGATGAATTATGTCGTATAATTAGCGAGTTATTAATTAATTAGTGATGAAGAGATCTGGATTTTCACAAATCGAGAGATTTTCGAGACGCGCTGAATGTGTGTGTGCGTATCAGATGCGCAAGTTTTCACGGTAGTGAGTCAGAGCGAAGGATACACACCGCTAGATCGTATCTCGTGATTAATCTTTGAGCCTTGTCCATATCTCTCTTGTAACTTTGACGTTGTCGCGATGCACAAGTTTCCTTCGAGAAATTTCCCACACTATTGAGTCAGAGCGAAGGATACACGCCGCGAGATCGTATCTCGTTACTTATAATTACTCCTTAAAGTTTAAGCAATGTCCATATCCCCAAATCAGGTTCGGGGTTGCAGAATTCCTCACCAAAATATCGCTAGGCTGTGTTTGAATAGCCGTCGCAACCTGGGTTAGCGCCGTTGTATTTGACACAAACTATAGGATTGGTAAATACAGAAATAGGCTATTGGCTGGAAACTAATCGAAACAATCCAGTTCGGATTTGCAGAATTCTTCATAAAAGTATTTCCTCCAGTAGTATTTCGACGACATGGGGAGTTGGCTATTGTTTCCTACATTTCTGATATTGGCTGAAAACTAATAAAAACAATTCAGTTCGGGTTTGCAGAATTTTTCGAATCGAAACCGCAGTTTCTGTTTTGGGGTATCCCCTAACTTTCGATCGATAAGTCTTCGGTCTCTGACCGATATTCTCGTTTATTCCTTATTAACATTTTATTTTATCATTTCATCTATTAGTTATCAGTCAGAATGGGCAATCTTTGAAGCATGCTTAAGAGAGATCATTGGTTATTCAAACTTGTCCAACAGACACACCGCAGGCACATCACAGCAGGTAGGCAAGGATGCTTGACATTTGACAACTAGAAAATGGGTATTATGTAGTATGTCCTATTGTTTCAAATAAATGCAATTAGGAATATAGCTAGAATGAGAAGAGAATTCATTGTGCAACTTGTGGTTGCACTACTCAACTGTATCAAATTTTTAAAACTCCCAATTATACTCATTGAAAAAAGTGTATAATATGCGGCGCTCCAGAAGTGTGTGTAACAATATAGTGGTAACCTATGGGCATCGGAAAAAAATTATGGCCTAACCCTAACATGGTACACACACTACAGGAGTACCTAATATTCTATACTTTTATACTTTCTTATTTATACCATTCTATACTATATACTTTTTGTTATTTACCCTAGTAATAATATATTGTATTTAGATGGAAGCTGACGTTTCTGTATCACCTGTAGTTGCCGCTAAAAAAGCTCGCCATATTCAAGAAAGTAGTGCACAAGTAAGAACACCTATAATTGTGTTGCTTCGTGTCTCGCTCTTTAACTCCTTTGTAATAACTTGAATACTAACTGTCCCATGTATCCAAATAGTTATATAATTAAGCATATATATTTATGTGCCCACATACTAACTAAACTAACCTTTACTCATTCTATGTCTACTTGGTTTTAGAATAAAAGTTAATTCCACTAGACTGAATTATTTTTCTTCAGGATTGGAAATATCTGTTAGACAGTGATTTTCATATCAAACATCACAGAAATTTTGGAATTTTTACTTTTGAAGATGAAGATTCACTGCAAAATGATAAATCAAAGGAATCAAACTTTGAATTGCTGGTAAGGTTTTGTTCTGGTCTCATGAATTGCAATGAAAACGAGGAAACAATAGTTTATAGAAGTACTATGAATTGTTTCTGATAAACAATTACAATCGCCTTCATGTTTAGTTCAAGTGAATTATTGCATCGTTTGAGTTTTTCGTATTTAAAATGGCTGAATGCAAATAATTTTTACAGCTTTTAAAAAATTCATAATTTATTTTGAATGGGCAATGAGCCTATTTCAAAATTTACATGGTTTTCTATGATTTCAGTTCAATTTTTTATCTTTAATGTGTTATCACAGAATCTGTCCAATTTTTCAGAATTTGTCACAAATTTGTCGTCGATCCAGTCTTGATAAATCTACTGATAGATCAGGAAATACAATGCATCCTCTTGGTGCGGTATTTTGTGTCTTGCATCTAGTTTATGAGGTTTGTATTAATATCTTATTATAGTGCCCAACATGACCAGTGCCCTGGACTTTTTTGACTATTTTGAAGATGTGGTGCCCTCTGGATAAAAAATTTGATATTGATATTGAAACTGCATGCAGAACTTGTCATAGACAAGCTTGATATAGGGTGATCACGAGCGAAAACCTTTCCTTGAAGCCCAAACTTTTTTTTGGATTTCATTTTTCTATTGAAAACCACTTTGATGTCACAAATTTGTATTGTTTCTCTCCATGTTAACATTTTTCGTTCATTCAAGAGAGGATAAGAGAAAATTCAAAATAGGTCAAATTTTCACTTATTCCTATTACTTAATTTATAAGTCACATTACCATTTTCGATCTTCATTGTTCCCTGCTTAGTATTATGAACATCCTCATTTCAAACCCAAAAGTTGCTTACATTGCTTATTCATAGTAAAGGTGTAGTGATATAATAAATGATGCCTAACTGATATTTAATATCGTTCTGCAATTTAGTTATTGGCATGACCACGAAATTGTCATGGAAAAATCTTCTGAAGATGAGTTTACGATGACATTTTCATTTGATTTGTTCCAAATTAATTAAAATGTTCTAATTGTTTTCAGGAACAAAAGTTGGATATAATGACCTGGAAAAATGTTATCGTCATGTCAAAATTTTTACAACAACTAGCAAATGATATTGGACTAAAGAAATTTTCATTATCTTATGCCATGGATAATCCAGACTTAATATGTGATGACATGCTTGATAAAATTAAAGGTATGCTTTATATACACCACACAGTGATAGTGTAGAGTAGTAGTGATTTTTTCATCATAAGTTGCACAAAGGCAAGTTACGATGAAAACAATCAAATTTATATGGCAAGACATTGATTGAATATTTTACACAACAGAAAAATCGTTATCGGGTGAAAAAGTTTTAACGAGTGGCGTAATCATGGCGCCTATTTTGAAAGTCGTTGCACAGGAATTTCTAATTCTGATTCATGAAACACACCGCATTTAAAAAGTTCTGACTATACCCCTGCTGTGTGTATTAGTACAATTGAAAATAATTATTAGGCTTGAAAAAACTTGTATTATTTATTTAATTTGTATTATTATAACTCATATTTTAACAATAGTTGAGGGATTTTGGATTCTTTGTAAGATAATTTTAGATTATTATCATGTTTTAAATCCAGTGAGAAGCATTCTTTAATAACATTGCAATGAATGATTATTATTATAGGTTAGATAAATTTCAGGTTCAGTATGGTCAAAAATATTGAAAAAACACTGGTTATTTCAACCTCAAGAGTGCAAACAACCTCTATTAACCCAGACGTTTTTTTTTGCTCCTGATGATGTTTTTGCTATTTTCAGGAAGTTCTATAATGTATTGAGTTTTGACATATTTGTGTCTTTTTCTATATCTATTATTTCTATATCCTTTTTCTATTATCTAATTTACAGGGTTTGATCCTCAAACATATAAACTGCCGGCTTGTTTTTCTGAATTGGAACCGAATATATTCTCAAATCTTCAACACGTTTCAAAGTATAAGAACTGTACTGCACCCTTTCCTGTTATAGACAGAGTCACAACACGCACTAAGCAAATTCTAATGGTAAACAGTTTATCTTTGTATCAATATTGTGCCAGCTAGTTGACTTATTTCTCAATATTTTTTTCTGACGTCGTAAGCATCGATGATTTTATCTAATATTTTTAACACATTCTTATTATGGCCCACTCTATACTGCACATATATCTCATCCAAATACAGCATGCCTATATTTTATTGATTCTTGTAATCACTTATTTTTAAAATTTATTCTAGATATATGATTGTCTTTTTAAAGATGAAAATGCTAGTTCCAGTGTAACTGAACTTGGCCATTTCACACAGACTTCAACTTTCAAGTAGGTTGTTCTAATCAAATCTTTATCTGACATTTTTGATCAGGGGTGCGCAACCTGGGCCCGTGAAACGTGTCAATTTTGGATTGTGTGCGACTCGCGGAACAAGTTTTTAGTTCAGTTTATTCTGTCATGTGCGAGTAATCCCAATATGTTACACTTACAATGCTTTAACAGCTAGCTTGTGCGAATCGAACAACGCATATCATAAGATCAATAACCAAAGTACTATGTGAATGCAACTATTTTAAAGCCTATGTTGAATAAAGGTGTGCTCCATCCTATAGTTTGTTATAGTTTTGAGAAACTAGACTGAAAATCGGATGGGAGACTGCGGTTCTAAATATGATTAAATCATTTCATCAGCCTTTTGATTTCACTGGATAAATATGCAAAATCCCATTCTTCTATCCTACTCTGAATCAAAGTAACATCTTGAGCTTATTTCATCCTATTTAGAGAAAAATGAAATATTTTATTGATTCGTATTATAGGAATTTACATTTTTATCTAAAATATTATCTTTATGTAACAGGAAAGATAAGAGTATTGATATGTCAGAAGAGTTTTGCGCCACTCAGGATGAAAGAACTGGAAATCAAATTTCTGCTGCTCATCGTGCTTTGAAATATATGATTGACATTGGTATTACAAGTGAACAACTTCATACCTTACCACACGGTGTTGCACTTCCCATATTTACAGCTCTACACCAATGCAAGGAATTGCCAGACCTGAACTTTTCAAACAAGGCACTAGAATTGATAGGTTAGCATTTCATTTTGATTGTTTAAATTTACTAAATTTATGATACATCAGTTAGGGTTAATCGAGGGTAACTCCCTATCATTATTTTATGCCTTTGTAGCCTACTTGTGGAGCCGTATGCGTATAATGCAAGGATGCTATAGTATCAATAAACAATACTACATAATGCAAGAGTCCTGCTACACACAAACACAAATGTATTACTTCAAACTTTTTATCTGAGGAAGTCATAATTTTTTTGTTTTCTTATATTTTTCTAATGTATTTTTTGTGAGTTTGTGTGACTAGAAATTACAAGGTAATAGTTACGAATTTATCAAAAATGTTTTGAAATTGGATGCGACCATGATGGTTAATTTATGATTACCTTTGAATAAGACTCATCTTCAATATCAGGTCGTTCGGTCGATCTTCCAGCATCAAAACTCATCCAATGATGTCTCAGTGGAAAGATGCCCCACTATCATCGTTCACAGATCAACATTTATCTGCCTGGCAATCAACAGATGAAAGTAACATATCTGCCGATGAAAATCACTGAACAGAGAAATTATGATTCTGCTATTTTGGAGAATGATTTGTCCTGACGAACAATAATAATTTTGATCAAAATACCGCGAAGTCGAAACTGCAAAATAGTTTCTACAGATACAGGGGATTGACAATGTTACAAGGTAATATAGTTGATTTTTATGCTTAATATTATAATATTATATTTGATATCTTACACGTACAATACACATTATCCTAACATGTCTTTGCACTTGTGAATTGAAAGAATCATCAGAGGACCTTATGTACACGGTATAGTAATATTTCGAATCACGCTTTCTGAAACGTAGTGTGTTATGTTCAAATCCTAGGATTATTCAGGTTATTGGGCTGTTCAAGATATTGAAATACTATTAATTCAAGTTACCCAAAAATTACTGAAAAAAAGACTATGTTGTTTAACATTAAGTAACAATCAATAAATATTTTCATTGAATAAATGAAACAACTAACTCTAGACTTCCTCATTATTTCAGACTTCTTTTTCCAAATGATCATCGGATATCGGAAGCACACAACTTACTGCAAGCACAAAAGCCTATTTTGATCGATTTAACACAACAACCGGGAGTGAGGTATTATAACAGGAATTTCATTCTTCTCATGTTGAATACTTAATAAGACGTATTTTCTGCAGTTATCACGTGACCTAATGGTAGATGTATTATATGCGTTTTTTACTTTATTTAAAAAAAAGTCTGTTTCTATGCCTATTATAGGTTCTTGAATTTTTGTCGAGGAGATCGACCGTCAATTCAAACTTTAGATTGTTCCGTATTTATTCATCATAATCAGTTATATTTTTGTATTTCCAGTGATCATGAATTCCAAGAACTAACAAGAGCTAGATTGCTTACTCTTTGTAATCGTACAATGGCACTTGCTGTTGGGAGTGGGATGATGTCATTGCAGTAGGTTATAATGAGATGATATCAATTTTATTTCAAATCTATAATCATAACTTTTTACAATATGTTCCAGAGTACTTATCTTGCAGCTATTTTTTTGGCGCTCTGGAAGTGTGTGTACCAATATGACGGTAACTAGTTTTTGTTGGCCTAGACACCTACTTTACATCGAGTTGTGTAAATGGACCAAATGCTATGGGCAGTGGGTATATTCACTTGACTCTAACACAAACGGCCCCCGAACTCGTAATAGAACTAAAATGAGGAAAACGGAATAAAATTATGGCCCAACCTCTAAACTGGTACACATACTACGGGAGTACTATTTTTTTTACTATATGAGCATTATGAAATCTAAAAAATCAATTTTCAATATTGTTTTCGTCCAAATATTATTATAGAAAGTATTTATAGAAAATTTTTATCGTTTGCCAACAGCCCCAATAATTGGCAGTTTCAAATTTATATTTAATTAATAATCTAAATATGCAATTTCTAAAATTTCTAATAAAATATTGTTATAATGGTCAAGATTTTTATATTATACATTTTTTTATCATTTTTTTTAGAACAAAGAAGCCTATCCCAACTGAACCATTCGAGATTCCACATATAGATTGGACAGGAAGATGTGTCAAAACGTAAATAAAATATCTTATTTTTTCTGAAAACTTTTTTGTCAGTTCCACAATGTATTTCTATAAACTTTGACCTGAAATACCTGGGCTTGTTATTGTCTGTTTACTCAATTGTATCCCTACTTTCTTCCTACATATCATAAATTGACGCTCCAGTGTACCAATATGGATGGAGGTAAATAATTTTGTTTGCCTGCTTTACATAAAGTTGTATAAAGGGAATGAAACCTATGAAAGGGGGATATATTCACTTGGCATGCCCCTAACCTGGTACATACACTACAGGAGTACCCATAACTCTAATTAATAGCCTAATTTTTTCAACTTACAATATAATTATACTGCATTTTATTGACATTATTCAAATAAAAATTTGTTAAACTCTTCAGCAACACAACGGTTGACTTGGACAGTGGAAATATTGAAGTCCCACCTCTCATGAAAAATTGGCCTGAATTTCATAATGGAGTTGCTGCTGGATTGAAGATAATGCCACAGAAGGTTGTCATATTAAGATAAATCAAATATCAAATGCCTAATCAGTCAGTAATTGGATTTTTAGATTACCTAATTTGTCTCTACATATCTCATCTTCATGGATGCAAACTTCATGTAGCTGTACAATCACATTTAATTGTGATTAAGATGATATGGTATGATTTTGTGCTACGATGAAACAAAAAGAAAATTTGTACAGGCAAAAATTTTTTTTTCTTAAACTACCTGACCAATCTTTTTCAAAATTTTTGTAATTGAGAGAAGAGTGTTTTCTAGAGACCTAATGCAGTATTTTTTGTTGAATTCGGACTTGGATTTTGTAGAGTTTACTTTCATGTTCCTATACTTATGCATCGCCCTCCTAATTTTTATTGAATGCTAAGGTGTTGTGATGTTCAAATAATTAGGTCCTTTGCCAAGTACCATTCAGATTTTCATTGGCTTTTTCTTATACAGTACGAGTCTTCTTGGATATATTTGAACAAACCCAAGACAAATACAAACGTTTCTAATCGAACAAATAATCAACCACCCACTGAATTGTCATCAGAACATGCTGGTAGGTTCATACTTAACTTCTAATTTCTATAGCATGATTGGGTGTCTAGTAAGAAAAAAATATTCTATGATACAGTTATCCTGTTCAATTCACTGAAATAGTGAATACTTCTGAATTCTGATTAGTTATCTTGAAGTAATGTCACAAAAACCCAATCATGTTTGGATATGGCAATAGATCAACTTGCTGTAGCGACTGCAAATTAAGCCAATTCAAGTAATTTATTTAAATCATATATTGATATATGCTTTTATTGAAGGAGAGAACAAATTCTATGTGGCAAAAGTGTATACTTGATATAGTTACAACAACGTAATATGGAGTTGGTGTTGAGCGTTATTTATTTTTCTGAAAATAAATATTTATTATTCAGTTTTCTGTTGGCACTACTGGATAACGTATCCTTTAACTGGCACTTCCATATATGTTTTTAATTTTTTACTCAGGATTTTTGCTTGCTTTGGGATTGAATGGACATCTTGAAAAACTTCACACGTTGAACATACACGATTATCTGAGTAGAACTCATGAAATGACAACAATAGGACTTTTGCTTGGACTTGGTACTTCCAAGTATGTTATAATGCAAATTCCATTGTAGTAAGTTAGAAATAAATTTCAATGGAACTGCATACTTTTGTTGTGTGGGTAGTAGTGGTTTTAAATTAATATGTTTTATCCATTGGTTGTAAAACTAGTCTCATATTTTATTATTCAACATTAATTTATACTTGATCTTGAGAAAGGATTCATTATTTTCAGATGCGGTTCATGTGATTTGTCAATTATGCGTATATTAAGTGTTCACATACCAGCATTACTCCCACCAACATCGACAGAATTTGATGTTCCTCGTGTAATTCAAACTGCTGCTGTTACTGCCGTTGGATACCTTTATCTAGGATCTGCTCAACGTCTTGTAGCAGAAGTTATGCTCAGGGAAATAGGTGACAAAATTGTTCATATATTATTTATTCAATACCCTTTCACTTCTTTGTGTAGCTTTACTTGCAAAGTAAAGTATTTCAAAAACACATTGTGAAACGTTCCAAAGCTTCAAATAATCTTGCGATAATTTCTGATTATCTAGATAAAATATTCGTACAATTACTGTTTCTTAAAATTCACTAATTACCCAAGTCTAATTAGTACAGATGTTGATTTCCTCTTACTCGATCTGGTATGATACTAGTATAAGTAAACATTGTACTGATATTTATTATGTTCTTAGATCGACCACTGAGTCCTGAAAATGACACAGGGGAAGAACGAGAAGCTTATGCACTCAGCTGTGGAATTGCGCTCGGTGCAATAACATTAGGGAGGGGCAGTAATATACCTGAACTTGCAGATCTTAACATGACTGATCAATTGTATCACTTCTTAACGGGCCGAAGAAAGCCGTCTAATGAACCAGTTGGACAAAGGTTAATTTCTATTCACTATATCAAAATGAATTCCAGCGAGTTGTAGGACAACTGTAACAATCAAACTAGGTTTTTATAGCCCTTTGAAATTGGCATGCAAACAAAACAAGTTTTGCAATAATTTTTTGTCTGAATTTTTGGTACTCCCATATTAGCCTATGTGTATGTGTACCAGGTTGGGGTTGGGTCATAATTTTATCACGATTTATTTTATTTTAGTTCTATTTCGAGTTCGAGGACTGTTTCTGTTAGCCAAGTGAATATACTCCCTGCTTATAGGCTTTCCCCCCTTTACACAACTTGATGTAAAGTAGGCGAACAAAATTAGTTACCTCCATATTGGTACACATACTTCTGGAGCGCTAAATTTTTTGCCCTCTATTATATCTCATTGAGAATCACTGCCTATACTAATTTTGTTGTGTAGAATTTTTCAAAAATTTTTTTTTAATATGTAATCATTTGTAATATGTAGACTACAGTGATTTCATAAATTAGCTTCAATAAACAAAACAAAACTGCCTACTTATATCTTTGTATTGTACTGTTATTACCTTACACTCTATTCCTCTTACAGCATCATCCTTGAAGGAGATCAAGTAAATACAGAAGTGACGGCACCGGGTGCCATTATTGCTCTTACTTTGATGTTTCTAAAAACCAATAACATGTAAATTGAATTTGAGTTCATTTATTTTGACTAAACTATTTTATATTCCACATGTTTTCGGATATTTTTAAACCCTAAGGTTTTTGGCTAAATTGAAACTAATTCTGAAAAGTCCTTTTATATTCTCTCAAGATTAAATGAGTAAATAAATATAAGTTATGAAAGTGCTTTCTATAGCAGGGGGGTTATAAAAAAAATAGTTTCAACATTCTTGACTGTTAATATATCATTTGCTTATTCACTTTTTATCATAACACCAGCGTATTTGTCTTGCATCATATTCGTCATATATTTTGCCACTTGTTTTGTTTCGACATGATTTGTATTTTGTAATTCATAACACAGAACTATTGCGGATTGGTTCACGGCTCCTGAAACACTACTTTTATTGGAAGCTATACGACCACAACATCTCATGCTTCGTACGATGGCAAGATCATTGATTTTATGGGATTTTGTAGTTCCTTCAAAAGAATGGGTATGAAACCAATGTAGTACCGCATCTGCGAAAGATATTTTTTCACATAATGCAAAATGTATTGTATCTTCGGTTAATACAGAAGTACATTATAGCTATTCTAGAGAAAAATTTGATCAAATAAACTTTTTTTATTTAGGTGGGTCTCGTGGCCGTGCACTCACCCACCTGAATTAATCACTGTTACGGGAGTTATAAACAACCACCATCACGCAAAGAGCTACATAACGACACACTGATACTATGTACAGTATGAATAAAACAGTCTGCAATACAGGCAAATTACATGAATATACCTGGTGGGCGGTGCCGGTGGCAATCATGCTCGATTTAAGCACGGACACTATGTCATCTTATATTAATAGACACTAGTTGGCACATGACTTGCCAACAAATAGAGTGACACAGCATTCATTTTTTCATTAAGGTTGAAAATCATATTCCATCTGTGATACGAACTCATTTATCAGCATCAAGAAATTTCTCTGAATCTAGTTCGATTGATCCATTGGTGGATGTACAGACGATATTACAATGCCATGCTTCTATATTAACTGGTGCTTGCCTAGCACTAGGAATAAGGTAATTAACAGAAATATACCTTACACTTTTCATCTCTATTACAGTACTTTTCATCTTTATTCCAGTACTTTTCATCTTTATTCCAGTACTTTTCATCTTTATTCCAGTACTTTTCATCTTTATTTCAATACTTTACATCTTTTTTCCAGTACTTTTCATCTTTATTCCAGTACTTTCCATCTTTATTCCAATACTATTCATCTATATTACAGTACTTTTCATCTATATCTCAATTTTGTTCATCTATATTCCAGTACTTTTCATCTTTATATAGCCAAAATGTTATTCATTCTCCATCTTCAAAACATATTTTATACAGGTTTGCTGGTTCTCAAAACAAGAGTGCTTATGGTACATTGCGTCATTTTATCTTGTTTTTCTTATCGATATGGAACGAACAAAGTGGTACAGCACGGTCTACAGCATCAGCCTATCCTCTGGAGGTATTTATTAGAATTTGGAAAATTCCTTTTCTGAAATTCCTCGTATGTATATTCTGTTGATGTTTGTGTCATTCAAGAATTAAAAAATAAAACAATGGCCTTTGTCAACTTTTTCTGAGATTTGTACCTTCATCTTGGCTTTCAGGTAATGGGAAGATACACACTGGAAAACTGTCTCACAACCTGCTTACTGGCGTTGAGTATGGTCGTTGCTGGGTCTGGTGATATGGAAACATTGCAGGTATTATTCATGTATTTATGAAAATGATATTTAAATTAAAAATGATATATTTAATCTGCATTTTCTCGTATTTCCAGCTTTGTCGATTTCTCCATGTTACTGTTGGTGCAGAAATAAATTATGGAATGCAGATGGCAACTCATATGGCCTTAGGGTTTTTGTTCTTGGGAAATTGCAGGTATTGGAATATTGCACTGATTTGGTCTATAAACTCAATATTGCTCGCCATTCGCCAAGTACTACATTTATATCAAGTATAGTCTCTGTGAAAAAATAGTCTGAGCTCTAAATTATGATGATTTCCAGCAATTTTATGGGTATTATTTTCAAAAATGCAACTCTTGCCAAGCATGCTTGTTGTCATGACACAAAATTAACGTCTCATTAAATTCCTCATGCAGCAAATACAATTTACTGAACACCCACTAAGAACAGAGAATGCTGTCTAATGATTAATCACAGGACAGTATCTTTCACGCATGGCAGCGTTCGTGCATAATTATGACATCACAAGAAATGACAAAGTTGATCATGAATATATACATGAACATTCGCAAAGTACTCTATTTTTTAAACATGATGCAACTTATAGAATTTGGATTTTCTGTTTCCTTTGTTTGATCTTATTTTATTTATATGTTCTGATAATTTTTCAGAAAAACACTCTCAACGTCGAACAAGAGTATATGTGCCATACTTACTGCTGTCTTTCCCTGTTTTCCATGTTCAAGTACAGATAACAGATATCATCTGCAGGTAATTTGTTTATATTGTAAGTGCCTAATTTTGAATATTGAATCATATTTTCATGGTTTGTTCAATACTTTTCAGGCACTTCGTCATTTCTATGTTCTTGCAACAGAACAACGATTACTGGTTCCCATTGATAGTTCAACAAATTTACCTTGCTATGCACAAATTAATATCAAGTTTACAACAGAATTTTCCGGTGAGGAACACTCATGTCTGGTGATGGCACCTTATATGCTTCCAGAGCAGTCACAGTTGAAGGAGGTATGTGCATTGAAAGCGAAAGGTTTGAAAAATGAAATAGAAAAAACTTGTTCAAACTCATACTACTTGGACTGTTTCATGAAACATATTCATGATTGAATTTAAAAAATACATTATTTATTTTCATTCATGTTACATTCTGAAGAATTCAACAAAAAGTTGTTATTCACAAAACTGCATCTAGTGTATGTAATTCTTTCACCACTTTCTGTAACCATGTCAACAACGTCTGAATGGTATAGTTTGTATCTCTCGTACTTTTTCTTGTTCATATGTCCACTTTTTCTATTTGTTTGAGATAATATTGATTGGTAAGAGGCAACAACAAAAAATATCAACCTGTCACTTTGATGAAAATGTGAAATTCAAAATTTTTTTATTATTTTTCATTTAGATCAAGTTTACTATAGATTTGAATTTTTTTAGAATAAAACTGCATATGTGTTCCCATAATCGATCATATATATTTGTGTTTATTGTTTAATCAGGTTAAAGTTGATGATCCTTAGACACTGGCCCCTGTGTGTTGATATACAAACGCAAGCTGATAAGTTGAAAGAATTATTTGAAGTTGGTTTATCTGTTCAAAGAAGAGCTGGATTTCAGTCTTATATCAAAGATCCCAAAGTATTTATACTTCTTTATTTTTTGTGTTTGCGAATTGAAACAAAATTTTGTTGTGAACAGCAATGTAAAGAGGTTATAATTATCTCTTTTTGGACGTATCGTTGAAAAATGTTTTGAATTTTGTCATCAAGGCTTAAATGTTTCTAAGTTTTCAACTCATATTGTGAATGTTTTATTGGCTCTTCGTAAAGTCGCCTTGTTTTACTTTTTTATATATGGATTTCAATATTGTTGATGGATTTGATACTTTGTAGAAAACATTACTCAAAAATTGAAACTTTGCTCCTGTCTTCCATTGATTACATAATGGAAAATTGTTCGAGTTACATAGTTTTTGATTCAATGTTTATATTCTTAAGGGTCACAGAAGTCTACTCGCTCGTTCATCACAAAATTGGAGCTCGCTTCTTACAGATGATGTTTATAATATTCGTTCCTATGCAGAAACTTTTCTTAACTATGTATCTGACGACAATAATTCAGGTGAATTTTTGTAGATTTCAAGGATTAGATTACACAGCATCAGATTCAATATAAGTTCAATCGAATATTAATCTGAATTTTCCTTCCATGTTTTTTTACCATAAATATGTAAAGCTGTTGCACTGGTATACACACTTTTTGGCTGTCATGATATTGACACTGTCAAATTTACTATTTGTTGGAATTGAGTTTGTAGGATAATTTATGTACAAAAGATTTACTCCTTTCCTCTGTGGAATGGTCCCGAGACACCACTTGTGTTTAATAACCTTACCAATGTCCAGGCTGTAGTAACTAGAACTATCACACAGTTAGTATGGATATCCTTGTGTGGACTAGAATGCTGACGAGAGGCTTTACCTAATTTTCTACCTTAGCCTTCCTTTCAACTGGATATCTGGATATCTAATACAAAACAAATATAGAGAAATTATTTTGAATTACTGATAACTTCACTTTCAAAATAGACAACTCTGACATAAGTGCAGCTGCAAGAAGAATTTCTCTCTCGTCATCTCTGTTGGAAAATTTTGTCACAGAGGAAAAATCACAAACATTACATATTTTCTGCGGATTGCAACAGGTTACTATTGGAAATATTTCTTGTTACAAGTAATCGCAGCTAGCAGGCGCGCACCATGAGGTCCAAAATAGTGATAAAGCCGTTCTCAAAAATTACACATTCGGTGTCATGTGATTGAATTCTTTCAGGCATAAATGCCAAACCAATAAGAGTGAGTGGCTTTGGTTGGAGTCACATGCTAAAATAGGGAAAGGTGGAAAAACTATGTTAAAAAGTATGGTTTAAAAATCAGGATGGTGCCTAATCATAATGAAAATTGTGGAGTGAGTGAATTAAAGTGTTTCTCTTTTAAAATTCACTTTGTTCATATTGTTTGTAATTTTCCTTATATTTATTATTATTATTATTCATTACTTTGCTTTTAGATATTTTATCAGCTGCAAAACTTTAAAAAGCCAAATACAATGTCAATGTGGCAACTGAAGATTGCTTTCGATTTTATGAAGCAAATTGCAGTGCCAAATCTAAATAAACAGCAAGGTTTTATGACCTCAGAACATTTTATTGCAATTTTGTCATCTTGAGGTAGAAAATCACTTTGGGAAAATACTCAGAGTGAGTGATATATTTGTTTATCACCAATTATTTTATATTACAAAATTTGGTCGCTCCTTGAGTGTATGTACCAATACGACAGTAACTAATTTTGTTCGTCTACTTTACATTAAGTTGTAATAAAGGGACTGAAGCTATGGCAGGAGGTATATTCACTTGTCTAACACAGACAGTTCCGAACTCGTAATAGAAAATCTCAATAAAATTTTGGCCTAACCCCAATCCGTATTTACCCTGGTACATATACTACAGGAGTACCCAAAATTGTTTTTGATCAGATAGTCAGTATAGGCAACCCATGATTGTTCACAAATATCTGTATTCACATGCAATTGAAATTGTCAGAAAATAAATAATCTGTCAAAATTGTATGACAGGTATAAAAACGCCATTGAGTTTACTAATGGGAAATGGAACACACAAAAACAAAAACTCCAAACCCAAACGAGTGGTGAAGCGAAAGGAACTCTCAATTGAAAATCCTCTTTCTTCATGTGCGAATCAATCGTGGACGCAAGGATTATCTGTGACTAATATATGGCACATGGTGTGTTTTTCTATTCTTCATGACATGAAAACTGAATTGTTGTTTCCTTCTCAAAATAAACAAGATGGATCTACCGGTTTAAAGGATGCAGAAAGTTCAATATGTGGAGGTTCTGAGTTTTTGAAATTTAAAGGTTCTACAGGGATTCAAATTTATAAAGCTACACATTAATTATGCACAGTTTCCGATTTGCTGATTTACTTTCGATTTGTTTCTACAATAACTATATGGCGCAACCTCATAATATAAACTACTGTGGCAATCTTCGACAGTTTATTCAATTATTTGTCTGCTGACTTGGAAAAAACAGTCGCATTATTGTGTTTTTGTAATCACTGGCGAAAGGTTAAAAGTATTTTGGAAGTTGTGATGTAGGGCGAGCCGTCATGTAATCTCACACCTCTGTCGCTTTCGTTGGCTATTGAATGTTTTGACTTGGGTTGCCATGGCCGAATTGGTTTATGCAGTGGCAGAGAACTTTTTCAAATAGGCTGTTTTATAACTTTTTTCAGAATAGTTTATTTAATCTTGATCGAATGTAACAACCAACATACGGGACTACAGCTTTCATATTTTATCTGGTCAGTGCATCAGTAGTTTCTGGCATTATGAGCATTTTTAGAACATTTATTACCGGTAAATTGTACACTAATGAAAAAGCCATACTATTCAGTGGTATCATTTTAAGTTGCGTATATTCGGAAATTGAAGATCCAATCCCGTCGGTTGACTATGATTAGGTGACCGGGTAATTCTCCCTTTTCGTTAGGATTGTGTCTTTTTCTCACCATAGTATTAAAGAGAACCGGGCATTTCCACCGAGCTTAACACTCCTGAGTTGATACGCTTCATGTGAGTCACGGTTAGAGGAATCAATGGTTTCGCTGAACTTTGTTCGACTACTTGAAATGTTACAAAGTTTTAAACGTATGTCATTATGTATACGCTCCTTTGAAGTGACAATATAATTATGGCCAATTTCGAATACATTTTAAATTATTATTTTAGACTATGGAATATCAAATATATTCTAAAATAGAATCGAGTTATACAAGCTTTTCTGAATGCATGAATGAATTTTCATACAATAAACAATAAAATAACTGTTATCTCCGACCCCTGGCCATTAAAAAACAGGCATTTTTTAATATGTTCATTTCCGGTTGGCTCTCTCACCACATAAAACCTCTTCAAATTGTAGGGAAATGAAGAGAGTGATTTCCAGTAGCTTAAACTTAAACCTGAATGAATGTGTTTCAATTGCGAGCAAGACCCAAGTCAGTAATATATATAGTCGTTAAACAAAAAACAACATAAAATTTGTATTGGTAGCACCGTGACAAAAAAGCGATGTTTTATCCTCTTCCCTGTAAATAGCCAAAATTTGGTGTTTCTTCTTCACAAATTAAGATGTGTTGGAAAAATTTGAAACATATTTAATAGTCAATGAAGTTAAACAGTCATTTGTGCTCGCAATATACCTTCTTCTCTATTCTTGAATTACCGTTGGGCCACACCCGACTTTTTCCGGGATTATGATAGATACATCTTCAATCAATTTATTATTGTACCAAAATAAAGAGTATTCCTTAGGATTCAATCGCGAATCTTGTTGTTTTTAACGGCGATAACGACTTCGCAGGATCGCAAAAATACGAATTAGAAATCAATATAATATTAACACTCATTTTATGTCCGCTGATTGTGGTATTTCAGAGTGATAATGCTCTTATTTTTTTATTAAGTCGACGCAACCGCGAGGTACGTTGAACGGAATTAAACGAATACCGCAAGATATTTTAAATGCTGGTATCGGTCGCGGATTGAATATTTTGCACAACAGAAAATTATCCCCTGAAAAAGTAGATTCTTTTAACAAAATTATTTGTTAAAAAGCGGGAAAAAGTGCAAATTATTTTTCTTAACCTTCAGAATAGGTCAATTATTTCCGACTTGCGACAAATTATTGGGCATCGTAAGAAAGCGCGTGATCCCAACTTATTCAACGTCTAACATTTGTTGAATAACTGCGAGACGAATGAATGAATGCAAGGAAATGGGGGCAATGTCCACACCCAACTGTATGCGTCGCGCGATCGCACATGAGATGACGAATCACCAGAGTAACGATTCCAATTCACCGTCATAACAATACGTGGTGACGAAGCCCAGAAAATCGTTCAAAGACTTCTCTCGGAAACAAAACACCTTGCTGACGAAGAAGAGTGGTCTTATTTGGAATCATTCTAAAATTAGATGAAAAGAGATTCGAATACTTTGGTATTCGATTTGGACAACCCTGTTATTTCTTAATAAAAGCATAGGTCTGTTATGTTTCATTCGTGATAATTGCGCAACCGGTAGCCTACTAAACACATTTAGCTACTGTTTTTCATTTGAATCAATTTTAAAGGTCGCTAAACGTCCGTTATTGTTTGTAAACGCAAATAATGCAATGAAAATAAATATGTAACTGACTGTAAGCTCAATGTAACAAAAAGTGAATTTTCACAGCTCTGAATTATTGGGTATTTATTGAATGTGGTTTGTTATTTTTGCACCCCTATATTTGCGCACAGGGCAATTGAACCTGCGTACTTTTGCACACATAGCCAATTGCACCCACAGGCCTACATGTGCACCCACTGTCATTTGCAGCCACGGACATTTTCACCCCCGTTTATTTGCACCTGGGTACATTTGCACTCGGGTACATTGCACCCGTGGACAATTGCACTCACGTCTTTTTGCACCCACGTACAATTGCACCCACGTACAATTGCACCCACGTACATTTGCACCCATGAACATTCGCACCCGGATATTTGCATCTCTGGACATTTGCTCCCAGAAATGTTGTACCGGTAAACATTTACTCCCATGGATACCAGTCTTTGGAATAAAGCGGTTTTATTGCCATTTGCGCTGAAATACGAACTTCTTGATGTTATGAATAGTAATGAAGACAAACTCACTGCAGACTCGAACGCGATTAAATTAGATTTCCATCCATTACCTCAGATCGAGTAGAACCGCGAAACAGGCGGAAAACAACCCGCATCGGTATATGCACCATTATAACGCAGCAGTACAAAAGTAACAAAGTATGTGAACAACTTCTTTCATATATAAATCCTGCTTTCGTCACGTTGAAGTCGCTCTCTGTAATTCTCTTATCTATAATTCTCTCCGTAACCTCGACGAAAAACGTTTTATTTCAAGTAAATATTTCATCAGAACCATAAATAGCTAAAAATTGGAAAAGAAATTATACGCAAAACAAGGCTTTCATCAGACATGATGTACAAAAGTGAACGGCGTGGAACCCGAAGAGATGCTTTCATTTGAATCAACCGGAGAGTTGATCTGGTCAACTGTGCAATTGCAACTTGGTCATTCTGACAAAACAAGGTTTCGTTGGTTGATTGGATTTTTTCTCCCCCGATGGAACTTGACTGCAACGTACAATGTCTGCGTTCTGACCTAGGAGAGAAATAAATTATACTCTATGCCACGTCTGGCGTTTGTTATACGGCTGAAATGCAAGTTTTGAGATGAGCGAATTGTCATGTTATTTTCACTCCAACTATGGGATAGAATAAATTGAAACTGTTTGTTCAAATTCGATTTCTCGGTTGTTCATACGTGGAGTTTTTCTGAGATTTATCTCTCAAATATGTAGAAAGATATACAATTCTGGAGCCATTCGACCCCGGATTGATTTCATACTGAATGCATATTTGAGTAGGCCTACGTTCCGCCGTTTGATGGTATTCCGATACATGGTAAATGCAATAGTGTTCCGCCATTGTGTTTCAAAACAATCTAATTTAAAACTTGTCTACCTGATATTTCTTTGCAATTCTTTTGAGACACGTGATAGGTATCTTGGGATTTTTCTGTAGAAATGAGACCCGTACTGAAAAGTATTCGCATCGCAGTGAAAATTTCTTTTTTCCTCTGTATTTCTGTAGTCCCCACCTATAATGGCATAAAATCGTCAAGAAGTGCTTTTAAAAAGATGTATCAAATAATGGAATTGTGGAGGCTCGTCTTCATCAACATAGGCATTACAGATTTCAACAAAGTAGACTTACCACATCTTCAAACGGTAATGGTCGGTGTGGAATGCTCTGTATTCTTGGAAAATCTTTTGCCTTCCAATTACCCAACCGACTAGATCTTTTGGTCTTGTTTTTTTTTAAGTACGGATTTTTTTCAGGGTTCATCCTTCCATTATTCCTATGTGAAGGCAATGTTGGTATGCCGTCTGTAGATTGTTGGCGGTTTTTCAGGCAATTTTTCCTTTGATGCAATGCGGAATCATCTGCTTTGGTGCACGACTCTTCTATGGATGGTTCCTTTGGAACCGCTATCGTGCTTTCACAGCCCTTTTTGGTGAAATTCCAGAGCGGTTTTGAATTTTGCCCACAAGTTGGAGTTTTACCTCGATTTTGTGATGTACTGTTTGCTATTACGGGTTTGAAGAAATATTCAATAGTCTTTGCTTGAGTTTTTGGATTAAAAGTTTTTAGACTGATTTCTGTTTTTCTCGTTTTGGACACAGGTTCATAAACGTCTTTTGTACCATTTGGAAATTTAGCAGTATCCTGTTTTCGCTTGAGTTTCAAAATGGGGGACTGATTTTTCGTGTTTTCTGGTGTGACTTTACGTGTTGAACGTTTGGATATTTTGCCCGGTATTTCTAATTTCTTCCCGGTGTTTTGACCAAATAAACTTTCTTTGAAGTTTTGGGAAGTTGGTTGATTACGTGTTGTATGTGAAAATATATTCTTTTTACTTGTTATGGCGACTTTCCCCAATGTAACTTCTACATTGTTGGTGCTATTTAATATATTTGAAATTAGCGTATTTTTTGATTCTTGAATTGTGCTTTGTGTATCATTATATTTACTCATACTAACCGCCTTTTCTTTGTGTTGGTTCACATTTGAACTTTCTTCTGGTTGTGTATCAGACATTGTTTTTTCTTTATTGCATAAATATGTCTTGGAATATTTTTCCGTTTCACATTCCTTTCCCGCATACTCTGTTGGCAAACTGCTTATGTTTTGTGAAGAATTTCCAGAGTTTCGATATTCCGTGTCGGAATCGATTTCCCCAAAACACTGTCTCGTCAGCAGACCCGAGCATAGGCTTTGCAAGGTTGGAATTTCGTTAAATTGTTGTGTCGGTTGTGGTTCTGTAGCAAAACGCTCATTATTATCTGCAATCATATCTTTTTCTCGAATTCTTGATTTGGTATCCTCCATTAATTGAATAGAAGTTGGAAACTCACATTGCTGAATTATCTTCGGAGGTGGTATTGGCTTTTTGTCATTTCCTCCAGATTCAGTTCCCACTATTTTGGTATGGAGACTTTGTTGTGATATTGAGTCATTTGATGTCATTCGATTATTTGTCTTTGAATTTGTTAACAATTCACCGTTAACTTGTTCGTCGGAATTACCGTTTGCGCTGCTATTTATGATTTCTGATTCATCATTTGTTTCATGTTGGCCAAATATAGCGTATTTTGTCATCTCCTCGTATCTACTTGATGAACTAGGTAGCTCGATATCATGGCTTGTTGGTGTGTGTGTTTCCACAGCATTCGAATTCACGTGAAATAAATTCTCTCTAGGAATAGGTTTGAGGGTTTCGTTGATTCGTAATGTTGCATTTTCGAATAAATCACCAATACTCAGTGGTAATGTTTCTGGTTTTTCTTGCAATGGTGAGTGGCATTTGGCCTGAGGAGACTTTACAAATTCCCATAGGTCGGGACTTATAGCTGGGCGTTCTGGGGATTGGGCAGTGTTGATATCACGGACTTGACTTTTCGTCTGGTTATCATGTATCTTTGAAGGAGCTTTGATCGTATTTTGTTGCACAGTTGATAAATTCCGGGGCTGGGGCTGTGCGGACGTTTGAGCGGAATTGTAGCGGAATGGAGTGAAATAGTTGAGTTGTTGTACGTTGCGTGAAACAACATGAAATTGTTTATAAGGATTCTGACGACCTATAACTGTATGAAGTCTTCCGTGCTGATGTGTGAGAGTCGGCTTAATTTGATATGAATTGCCCCGTCCCTACAAGAAGTATAAAACGCAAATTAGTTAAAACACAGAATACTGAGTAAGAAATATGCAATAAGTTTATTGTATTGCATTTTCTCACTTCATCGCGGTGATTTCAAGGAAAATAGATTGCTTGTAATGCAATTTAGAGTCAGTTAGCAACCAGACTTTCTCTGAATAGTTAAAGATACTACTATTAATGATTGCCATGTTATATTAAATTAGTTTAATTTAATTTTGTCATTTAATCACTTGAGCTATGTTTTGTTTATAAAAATCTAACTAAAAAATACTACGAAACTACCGACAATATAATTTCCTTGACATGAAATTACAATACAATGAATTCTAATACACTCAACATTTGTCCCAGAATTGAAATATTGTTTGGTATGCAAGTTATAGCGTTCTAGGAAATACTACTATTTTCCACTATTAAAACTTTGTAGCACAATGAAAGCAGGTAGTACAACAATAGTATTTATTTCAACTCGATCTATTAATACACTTTGTTTTCAATACAAAACGCCTCTCACCTGCACTTGTGTTCGAAAGATAACGCCAGGACGCTGCGGATAAACTTGTGAGTTTGCAAATCGTATGTCGCTTTGATTTTGAGTCGCAAAACGAACAGCTGGACTTGAAATAAAATTTTGTAGGTACTGCTGTTGGTTATTTTGACTTCTGGGCGTCACTTGGCGAGTTATGTGATGAGAAATCGGTTGTTGCTGTCGAGTCAAGTTTAAATCATTAGCAAATCTTATTTCCGCGTTCGTGTAACCTGCGGGGAACGAGGCACCACGGTTGAGGTTGCTGCCTCCCCTCTGGATCTGTACGTTTGCTCTTGGTACGTTCCGATTTCTAGATTGCTGCCAAAGACCATTCAAGCTTTCTTGTTGCGCTCGCTGAGGCCGAAGTTTAATACGTGGGTATTGATTTGTATTCATATTTGAGATAACTAAAGAAAGATTTTGAAAAAGTCAGAATTGTTATTCTTGCCAGTCACAATATATATATATATAAATACTCTGTCACATAAAAAAGACAAATGCGATTCTCAAATCTCTTTTTTTCTCAATTGTTCCCACTATACACTTGGCTACCTTTTGATGTTGTTATCTGGAACTGACAACTTCCAAACCATATATTACGCAAGAAAAATCATCTACTCGGTTATGCTTGACAAGTGTTAGTAAAATAGAATAATATTAGAAACATATTCCAGGTCATTTTTATGTAGAAACTTATCTTTATTTCCTTCAAGTTTGCAGCGTCCAGGAACTTTTTTTTTGAATAATTTCTTCGTGTAATCTGCATATTTTCGCCTATCTTATCTTTTTTTTTTGTAGTAGCCGTAGTTCTTTATCTGTAGACAAATATTGTTATCATTGGATTCTTATATAACACGATTGGCTCAAAATATGCTGTTTGATTTTTCCGCCGTGCTGGATTGTATATGTTCAAGTCTAATTCATATGTTAACCCTAAATACATAACGACGATATCACACGATTGAATACTTTTCTAGGTGACTATGGTCAACATATTTGCGAAATAAAGGATCATAGGTACTAGGCTTGCACGTAATTTACGGATTTACGGAATTACGGAATTATTTCGAGTTACGGAAGGGAAGTTACGAATTACGTAAAGTCGTAATTATTGGTCGAGCGCTTTCGCGATTGAAACGAGCTCTCTTCAGAGCAGTCAATTCCGTCGATTGTAAAAAATTAAAGTTTAAGTAAAAGAAGTTAGAGTTCCGGTATTCGCAGCCGTTTCTCTCTCTCTTGTTAGGCAGATGGGGAAGGCATAACGCGTCATTTACTAACCTATTATCAACTTATCTAGGATGGCCAATGTACATATTAACCGTAGATAAAGAATAGAATTGTGTTGAGACCGATGGACGTCAACACACCTGGTTTCAACTTCTTCGGGTGAAATGACTAAAGAATGTAAGAGATCAACTTATAAAACATGGTCTTTTTGTAAATGCCGTGATAATTAATGTCGCGCTTATCAAACAGCAATATAAAGACGGAAGAGAAATTGCGTAATGAACCGACGCAACTTAGTCTTTTCGGCATCGGTAAAGCGATTGAGACGGCAGAGAAACAACAATACGACGGGATTTCCCGTGTTTATTCTGCGCGAGTTCATTTTCTATTACAGAATCTTGATGTTCTGTTACCGATTTTATCGTTATATATCTGTCCGGACTTGGCATTGCTCAATATGTTTTTCACAATGCCTCGCAATATGTCGGCCAAATATGATTACCTGTCTTTACCAAATGCGGCAACTTATTTTGATTTATCGTCGACTCGAATACCACCGGCACTCGACCAAACTTGTGTCAATCTTGGCAAATAGGATTGTCGACTTGAGTTAGAAAAATAAATTAATATTTTCATGAGTGCAAAATAAATGTCACAAAATGCATTGTTTTGCGATATAACTTTGTATTTTCGGAGAAAGCATGTCATATAAGTACGGTATTTTAAATAATGCGCAAATAATTAATATTTGATCTAAATTTATCGCAAATAATGTTATAACTTTTAGGCCGCGAAATGATTTAATGTAGAATGAAGCATGGAATTCGGAATATCGTCAATAAGTCGGCATCAATAATTATCATAAAATGCTAACTAAGTAGTAAAGTCGGATATTGTAGAAAACGGTGAAATAACAAGTCTTCGTCGCGAGGCAAGCGAAAGTTTAATCAAACGAGAGAATACGCTTGTAGTTGATTAATAAATTAGCAACCCGGAATTTTTATTTGATACGAAAGTCGTATTAATACGTTAATACGATTTTAAAAAAGTGAACTATCGTTTCCTAAATATATTACCAGTGTTGGTAATGATAAAATTGATCGCATAAAATTTGGTGATAAAGTGGATAAAAAAATCAAAGCTAATACAAAAGATAAAAATCAGAATAAAATTATTTTGAATTCACTTCTTGATATTTGTCTTTAACATCTGTAGCCGGCGTGTAGTACTGCCGGGAATATGAAAACCAAACTCCGATGTCCCATTCGGAATAGAAGTGGATTAAATTGGTTGTTATGATAGGTTTAAATGTGTGAAAAAATATCGCAATTACGGGGTCATTACGTAATCGATTTGGCCGTAATTACGGAATTGATTTTTGTCAATTACGTGCAAGCCTAATAGGTACGCTAGCAACTTGATTGCATATTTTCCATAAAATTGAACCCCATATTGATAATAAGGTCCCACTTTTTATGTATTTTATGTATAATGGTTAAAACCGCGTGATCAACCACCCATGATTTCTCCCGATAATGGTGTTCGCTTAATAGCAAGTTGGTCTAAGTTACATGAAAGTCAGTTGATCTCAAATTATGAAAAAAACTTCCTTAAACTTCAGTTCAACTACTATATTCAGTGTGGGTCATGAATAGTTGTTTTGTGAACTATAAAGACAACTTTAAAGAGTAATACAAGTTTAAAAATCATTCTCTTTTGTGTCATTTGGCGACCTAGATACCACCAATTGGCGTGATACATTTCCCTCTCGGTCCTCAAATCCTGGCATATTTATAAAATTAAATAAAACAACAAATTGAAATAATTTACTTTCATTGGCAATTTTTCAAACATTTAGATATTACATTAGTCGAATCAATTCCGAAAAATGATTTTTTTGAAATGCTATTTGTCATGGTGATTTAGTGAAACAGCAAATATACACAATGAAGTATAGTAACATAATTAATTATTCGGAAATGTTACTCGTTGTACATTTTTTACGACATGTCCAAAGCGGAAGGGAGGGGGCGGAACGGGTGACAAAATTTTATCGTGCATACTAATTACACACTAACTACAGTCGTCAGGTATTTATAAAACAATCTCATTTTTACCCTTGATTCCTGGTTGGGTTATAAGAAGCAAAAGACACAAAGTATTGCCTAGCATTTGTGAAAAGTAAGACCCAGTGTCTATGATGAAGTTTGAATTACTTTTATTCAGTATTATCTTAGCGACTGATATTGTATCAGGTACGTTCATATCATTTTCTTTTTTATATTTTGCATTTGCCAAATAGTGTGAACCGCATCGCGCATTATCAAGTGTTTGCATTTTGTGCAATTTAAAAGATTTTTATCATTTCACAGCGATCTTATGTTGGACATGTACAAATGTAAGCAGCGAACAGGAGTGCAGAGATAATGGTCGAGCCGTACAGTGTCCTGGAAAAGGGGTATGTGTGTGTTAAGCTTTGATTGTATATATTTTTAACTCCCATCGTTCCGAGGGATCAGCAAAGTGGAATTTGAAGAGTGTGAGATCTATAACCGCAATATTGTAATTATTTTCCGATTATAGACATTCTTCTAATCAAAAAAATTTCGATACACTCAAAACTGTTTCGTTTCCAGATATATATATAATTTCATTCCGCTTAAAAATGTTTTAAGGATGCTTGTCAAATTGAAGTACGATACGAAAAAGGATGGGGAATACACCCCAAGATCACGAAACGATGCAAGCAAGCATTAGCATGTGAAAACAATTTTAAGCAAGTAAGTGAATTAATTTCAGAATCCAGAATTAAGTTACATCAAATCCCAAACTTATTCGAAAAATTATCTTCTTCTAAGTTTACTCGTAGTAAGATGCTAAGCCCCCAACTAAGATAAAAGCGTGGACATCAGAGTCCCAGATGGTCATGATATAAATTGAATTCATGTATAAAAAAAAAAACTAAATATACATTATTGTAGTGGCTCATCATAGAAGCTGATTTGCATATTGTATATCCATCTGATAAATCCTATAATATAAAAGTTTAATAATTCGGAAATTATTGCGCATTGATGTCATACAATACAGAGAAATAAGCAGTGCTGCTCTAACTTCGTATTTTTAATATCTACAGAATTTAGAAGGACTAAGAAGATCAAGTCAATGTAGTCCAGAGGCATCTAGTCCTGTTTGTAGATGTTGCTGTGAAACAGACAGATGTAACTTTGATGCTCTAATTTGCTGGGATGAACGTAAGTGTATATATTTATTTACATATATTTTATTTTGTAAATTCAGAACATCCATGGGTAATAAACAGATCTTTTGCCCTTTTCTGACTGACCCAAAATGCGTACTGTATACTTCCATAAATGCATACCTTTAACGTTTTATATACCGAAACCTGTTCCTTTCTGTCCAACATTTCACGAGTTGGCGTTTTACAATTCCCTCTGTTTTAAACCAACCAGTGTTGAGGTACAGTATAATTCACTGATTGAGTGCCATGTAACTGAATGTTTTGTATTTCCGAGTTCCACTGTTTTGCAACGTGTAGCAATTTCATAGCAAGAAACAAATAACAAGGTGTTCATAAATTCTGCTCCCAAATTCGATAAAATTAAATTTTGTTACGTTACCGTCATACCAGCGGTAGATTTCCTCGACTATAGCAACATTAATTAAACACAAATAAATTCATTTTAAGCAAAACATTGTCCAAGCCTAAAAAATGGCCCAAGAAATGGAAAAGTATCATGCACAAACGGGAAAGAGGTTGGGAGCAGATGCAATTTTCAATGCAACGAAGGCTTCAAACTGAAGGGGAAAAAATCAGTAACATGCAGTGAGTAACTTATCTATTCCGGGAGTATATTGTTAATATTACCGCGTTCATTTGCTGTGTGTTTTAATGCTTATGCACGTACTTACGTTTAACAAAATAGACTTCATAAATAAACAATTTTTGTCATGGATATGGAATACGAAGGGCAATGGGTTTGTGAATTCAGATAGCAGATGATAGTTGCAAATTATTTAGTTTGTAATATTCACGACAGGATGTTTATTTATAAACGTTGAATGAAAGATGTAGCCTATATGTAGTTTTTTTTTATAAAATTTTAAATACCGAGTGGACGTTCAAATTCAACAATCACAACAATTTTTGTTACCAGTATAAAGTCTATCATCATTGTTGGCTATTCAGGAATAATAATGTAAAATAAACGACTCCAGAAAATATAACTCATACTTTGATTGTCATAGCACGAACTAGGATATTATATCGATTTTGGTCATCACTAAGTGTAGCGTATCCAGCCGAAATAACTATTAAGAAAAAGGATGGAAATAATGAATTTTCTTACACTTAGGACCGAACCTGAAATGGAACTCGGCACTTCCTGAGTGCCAACCTATAACTTGTCCGGGCTTACCAGCTACAATCATGTACGGGTCTGTAAAATGCAGTAAAGCAAACCATTACTCAAGCAGATGCACGTAAGTAAAGATAAGGTTACTTATGCACTTATTTGAAATTGAGAGAATTGAAATTTTAATATCGTATAATTGTGCAGAATTTCCTGCGAACCAGGATATGAGCTATCTGGTTCCAGAGTTTCGACGTGCAACAAAATTGGAAAATGGACACCAACACCATCAGTTTGTCATTGTGAGTATAGAGATTTTTTAGTTAGTATACTTCTCATTTTGTTTATGGCAACGAATCGTTCATAATTTTTCATTGCAAAAACATATACATTCATTAACAATTGTTTTCTTAGAGATGTTCCAAACTGAGTTCAACATTTCACATCTACGCCTAGAATATGAAGTAAATATTGAGTTTTATTACAAAGTTCACATTAACAAGATGATCATAAATTTCATAGCTAATTTCTGCAAGATCAATCATGACTACATAAAGAACGGAGCTGTGACTTGTTCGGAAAATAAGCAAATCGGAAGCATTTGTGAATTCACTTGTGACTCTGGGTATAACTTAGCTGGAGAACAATTTTTAACGTGCAGTAAGAATTTTTTTACTTTTCAAAATAAACAAGCTTTTGTTGTATTTGAGAGAAGTCGCACTCCCCAATCTGCCTGTAACGTTATTAAACTATATAATCCCGCCAAAATATTTATTCACAACTGTTTGGTATGACTCACAAGTCACAAATCTATTCTGGCCAAGGTACAATCACTTGTATGCTAAATTATCTGAACTGAAATTCAGCTTTTCGTTGTAAAATCAAAATTAAAATATCATATATCGCTATGACAGTTCAATCAAATGTGGCAAACCACTTCTGGATTCAGAATACGATTCTGCTACTACGGATCCCGAGTAGTTAGTATTCGAACATGTTGTTTGATAAGCATTCCATTTAATTTTGAAATTTTGAGTATACTTTTAGCAACGTATTATTTCAATATATCTACTTTATAATATCCGATGAATTGGGATATCTTGTAAATTTGTTTGCACTATTCTTCCTATTTTGTAGCCGATGCAATGAAATGGGACTTTCCTGCACCTAAATGTGAGGCAATATCCTGTTCTTCATTATCTCGCAATTTCCTGAATGGCCTTATAACATGTTCTCTAGGAAACTCTTATCCTAGTAAATGCAAGTGAGTATGTTTATTTCATTGCAAAATTAATTTTGAGTAGTTTTGTACATATGGGTTCTTCTACCCCAAGGTGGCATAGAAACTATTATCAACGTGTTTATCAGACCATGTTCTCTTACGAATCTCATCACTCACTTGTTGATGGTTGCTATTTTCTTGAAAGATTAATATTCACGAGTGGCAATTTATCACAGTACTATTGTACTTAATCTAAACACGAATTCATGGAGAATGAAATGTCTACACAGCGAGTTATTCATCAAAATTCATTTCTCGGAATGTTGTTTACACCGAATCCCTATAATTCCTTGATTTGCCTTGATATATTATGCGAGATTCATATCAAACACCCATTATTGCCCATCGAAATGTGACGCCAAAGAAATACTCCGAATTAAGATCAAAGCGATTCGTGGATATAATACAATTTTTTAATTCAGCCATCAATAATTGAGCAATTTTTTATTTCGGTTAGTATGATTTTTCAATTATAATAAATTTCATGGATCATTGTATATAATTTAAATTCAATTCAGGTTTGCCTGTCGGGAAGGTTTTATACTTTCGGGAGAGGAAAACACAGAGTGTACTGAAGATGGAACATGGTCCAATCCCGTACCGTCTTGTCAAAGTAAGATTTACATAATAATTTGTAAAAATTAAGTCAGTCGTGTAGTACACAAACTCTTTTGCCACTCTTAAGGCGGATGTCAAAGTACACGTCTTTTAACAAATTGGTCAAAATGTGATATTAATCATTTTCCTTACGATGCGTTTTCGAAATCTAGTATCACTTGACCAGATGCAAAATTACAAAGCACAAGTATACTTGATAAAGCTTTTCTGTTAATTAGGTCCATTGAAATCGAACATGAGGTATTTTATTTTATTATTTGTTTTGATTCATACTTGTAGGAGATGGCTGCGATCTACAACTTCTGGCGTTGACAAATGGATTGCTGAATTGTTCGGATTCGTACAAAGCTGGGAGTAGTTGTAAGATCATTTGTGAAGAAGGATTCACGCTTGTCGGGGAGTCTACGTTGGTTTGCAGTAAGATACCTATCGACCATTCTATTGTTGATATCTTAGAAATTAATTATGAAGTTGTCAAGTATTAGAATATTTGACAAATTAAATGATAATGTGTTTTCTAGTTTTAATTATTTTTTATTATCATCCAGTGAGTAACTTTGTGCAATTTTACTTTTCCGCACCAGATGATGAGTTTGGTTGGGATGGTGAACCTCCTAAATGCGTTCCTACAGAATGCCCGCATTTGAAAATCAACCAAGGATCCATAGAATGTTCACTCGGCAATGCTTTTACAAGCATTTGCAGGTAGGCTTCCGAAGTTTCTACTATACTGTAATGAACCATTTTTATATTCTAGAATATTTCCTTACAGGATATCCATTGTCGTCATAAGAATGTTAATTTTGTTTGTGCAAGCTAGATCTTTATTGTATCCATCATTTATAGGATTTCGTGTGATGACGGTTTCAAGTTGCTTGGACCATCGACAACCACATGCATTAGAAATGGAAAATGGTCAGCGCCTTTACCTGAATGTGTTGGTAAGTATGATGAAATAAAAGCTATAAATTAGTTATTCAACAAACTTCTTATCTTTTCCGTATGCTTACATTAACATCAAGGCTTAGCTTTTTGTGTAAGTCAGGCATTACAATTTGCTCGTAATTTTTGTCAATCAAGCGCAGTAATTTTGAGTATTGATGAATATAAAACTTTAGGTGTATAATTACAATAATCACAAAATGCGGCCAAACTAATAGTTCGTGTGTGCGATAAGCTCCGGCGATCTTGTCATCTGTGTCGCCGATTTCACAACTACCTCGAATTTTTTCTTTCCTAATCAAAATTTTATAAATAACATCTGTAAAAATCTTCTATTCAATTTAGTTTCAGTGACAACATGTCCATCATTGGAGGAAAGCTTAGAAAATGGTTTGGTGGAATGTACTGTGAAGAACCAGGTTGGAAGTATTTGTAATTTCAAATGCGTGGAAGGGTACAAACTTGATGGAAGAAACAAAACTATGTGCAGTAAGTAGATTTTTGAGGAAAGTCAATGCGATGTTTCAAATTATTAAATTTGTGCAATGTAACAAAGCGGTGCAGGTGTTCACATAATTGTATCAACTATATAAAATACCAAATTACGTACAAAAAATCAATTCTCTCGTTTTATTCTATCGCCGCTCAGATGAATACCCGATTAGCGCTTGCGTTAACTGTGAATCATTTTCATAATTGATGGTTGGAATTTCGTAAATATATCAAACTAAATTTGATTTGTTTTTGCCACAGAGTCATCGTTGGAATGGGATGATGAACTTCCCCTGTGTAGAGATATCCGTTGTTCTAATATTAAAACTGATTTTGATAAAGGATTTGTGAAATGTACGAATGGAAATAGATATTCAAGCGTATGCAGGTAACAAAAAAATGACATTGGAGTATAAATGTCTTGAAACGAGCAAACGAAAATTTTCTACACATACCTATCAGCGTATATAGCTATTATTCCTCAAGCCTACTGCTATGAATACTGCATTAAGTTTCAATAAATCTCGATATCCTTCCAGATTTTACTGTCAGCCTGGTTTTAAATTGAACGGATCATCAGAAGCGCAATGCGACGGTTCAGGATATTGGACACCATCTGTTCCAATTTGTGAAGGTATGATAAATTAAGTAGTCCATTTTCAGTATTATCAATGAATTTTTCGATCAGTCATTTGTAAAATACAAATTCAATATCTTTTAATCCATTTCACGAATATATAAATTTCCACGATCGATAAAATATACTCAAATTTGCACGTTCTCGTTCAAATATAAAAGAATTTTCAAAATACTTGTAAATTTGCCTAACTGGTGGAAATGAACAGTTATGTCTCTCAGGTCAATTAGAATCAGTTAGTATTGCTGGTTACAATTTCACCTAACTGCCAAAGGATTCGCGGATTCGTCGTGAATTACCTTGTTCGCTTCTTTTGTAACCATTTCTTTTGACAAATGAAAATTCAAATTACTAGTCATTTCTGAATAAACTAAGCATTTTGTCCATACCAGACAAACATATTACCGATGTCGTCTGTTGTATAGACAATGTTTTCAATATAAAAATATATAATTATTTGCAGATGCTTACTGCCCGGCAAGTCGTAAAATGTTAGTCAATGGCAAAATGGTTTGTACTGACGATGGAAAGTTGGGAACTAAATGCGAATATATTTGCGATAAATATCATGATCTGGTCGGAAATTCTACGCGGAATTGCATCTCTACATCAGATGGTAAATTACGATGGGATGGAGACGAACCTCATTGCGAGTGTAAGTGACTGTAATCACGCAAAATAAAAAATATGTCACTTGCAGAATTTTTATGAAACAAAGCTTTTTAATGTCATGAAGCTTTTTGACACAATAATTTCGAGTAACATTTAAGGTTTAATCTCATGCCGATATCCATAACTGCGCGCAGTATGTAATAAAAAGTTACATATTATCAAGGCGCAAAAAAGTTCGTTCCTATAAACCGCAGTAGGGAATCAATGGCTGCTCACCCGAAACATTTTTAGAGTGAAGGTTTGAAAACGCCTCGTCACAAAATATCTTTTACTATTACTTTTTACTATTTATCATGATAATTGTAGGTTTCAACCGCAAACATTGTTTATGTATTTTCGTGTTTACCTTAGATGAGTTAACGAAGGGATTTTTATTTAGCGTATCTGTTGGATTCAATCTACCCTACTATAACATTGGTGAATTCTTGAATCGAAATTTAAATCGAATCTCCTTCTGCTTTGATTGAAACATTTGCTATTTCAGCCAAATATTGTCCAGCAAGCAGAATATCGGTGGCGAATGGCCGTGTCGTGTGTACAGATGACACAAAGCTAGGATCAATATGTGAATACATCTGCGAGGTAGATTATTATTTGGTTGGAGATGCCACTCGTAAATGCATCCCAAATCCGAATGGTTCTGTCGACTGGGACAAAGAAGAGCCATACTGCGAAGGTAAGCTAGACGCATCATTTGTTAAGAAATATATATGATATTGTTTACTCTTTCCCTCTGAAATATTATTAGGAACTTGTAGTTGTTTGGTTAGAGAGTATTTTTTGGAACCAACACTTTCATTTGAACAGCCTGTATTTGTTGTAGGTTTCAAACAGTCATAAGGATGAGTCCGATTGAATTATCGGTAACCTTTGTTTAGTAGCAAACCAGTATGGTTATGTGTCAGAAAGCAGAAAGCACATATTTTAAAAATGCTTTTAACAATATTTTATGTTGATTCTCATTTCAGCCGTTCAATGTGAAACCCAGGAACGGATTCCCCACGGTATAATTAAGTGTTCGAAGGAAAACAATGTTACATCGACGTGCGATTTCAAATGCACAACGCCATACTACAGTTTGTACCCACCCGATCTTTCAACCAATATGTGCATGGGTGATAGCGAATGGGATAAACCCACACCATGCTGTGCTCGTGAGTATGCATTCTTGATAAACAATTTTTGATTTTTTATCAGAACTCATTATCGAATATAGAATAGGTTGTTTTGCAGAACAAGCTTTGATTTAATGATTCATATTTAATTATACTTCGTACGTATATTACTTAGTTCTCACGCAACAACTACGAACGTCGTTGATTGCCATTGGAATACAAATATTTGTAAAAGTTGTACAGTCAGAAAATATCTCTATTATTTAGTCATAATGAATGGCTCATTGGTTAGTGCGTTGAAGTAATTAGAAGTCACTTGTGTTGGTCGACGTATTAGTGTGTGAGCGTGTGAAATTCTAATCAAATAGTTGGTTATTTCATATACATACATAACTATTCATAGGTCCTTGTCCTCCATATGCCTTGATGGATTTCGTTCTGATTCTTGATTCGTCTTCATCGATCGGCGTAGAAAATTGGATGAAAATGATTGACTTTTTACAGGATTTTATGGAGTAAGATGGTTATGTTATTGTGGAGAACTATCATTTATCACTTCCTATGGTCGATTTTTCCTACGACATGATTATTCAAGCAACCTTATGACAGAACAATTTATTTTATATTTTGGAAATATTAGTTACTCAAATTACTTACTACAAAAATTAATTGAGTCATTATTATTTTGAAAGATTCATAGGGATAAACGGATAAACATGTTTAATATATTGAAGTTCTCACTAACCTTTTTTGTTAAATATTTGAATATTCTAAATCAAATAGGGGACATTTAGGTAGGGGTAATTTCGTCTGGCTGAAATTGTGGAGGGAGCCTGCTTCTCAATGGAAATTTTTTTTTGAACCAAGTCATAACAACGTAGTGTTTCCGAGATGAATCTAACTTTGGCAGCCTTTGTAATTGAAGTATTCATAAATCCTCTTTTTGATTTCAGTGATTTTCTAGTCAAGTACGATGGTACAAATTTTGGTGTTTTGCGTTACAATAAGAATGTCGATGTGGATCAACAGGTATGTGGATAACTGCAGCATAAAGTAGAAATAATAACCAACCCTTGTTTGACTTTAGCAAATCTTATAGACTTGTTCACAAATATAACCGACCGATTGATTGGGATGGTTTAATTCGTATCATTTAATGACTAGAAAGGTATATGACAATATGGTTGTAGTACATAAGTACATAATTGCATCAGCGAACTAATAGATTAACCGAAAAAGCCATATTTCCACCTGTGCAATGTGGAAATATTGAAATATATGATAAATAAATGATTCAAATGCTCTATTACTCAATCGTTTCAGATTTTACTGAAAGATCATACTGATGACATCCAACCTATTTTAAAGAAAATGGGAGATCTGAAATATGATGGATCAGGTTGAAAATACATTATATTTTGTGAAATAAAACTATTGAATGTAGCCCATCATGACCATGTGTATAACGACCAGAAGAAATAAAGATAATGCTCTCTACTCACAATGTTGTCACGTAATGTCTGATAGCGACTCCTGTTGGCAATTGATGGTGGTCCAATCCTCACCCGATCTTGTAAATAGACCTGGTATATATAACTGGCCATCGATATCACTTATCGTTTAGATTTAATGCGCCCTTCTCGCCATGTAAACTGAGCTGAGACAGTCTGTCGGACGCTCTCTCGCGCACCATTAACGTTCAAATAGTATAATTGACGTCCGATCATTTTCTCATAATCCTAAACTAATTAGTAGACTTCAAAGTTGTTTAATTACTGGTTTAATTGTCGCGTGCTGGCCTTCTCGTTAACGAAAATGTCACACTTCGGCTTGTCATTTATATTTTGTTACATCAAAATTATTTTCGCGCTGGATTAATACTTTTACAACTTGATTTAAATATTTTGACCTGGCGAACAGAGTTATTTAAACTTCTTAATTAAAATGGCGGCTTCGTAATCTTTTGTATGGGCGTAGTACGTAGCCATAAGAAAGCACCAATTTTTTCGTCTTGTTCCTTTTTAATGTGTATTTTGGTGGATAATATCGAAGTTATGAATGAGTCTTACTCAAATAGTTCACTAATTTTTATTATTTTCCATTTGTTCAAAGGAACTTTAACTGGAAAAGCATTGAGATACGCTCTAGATGTTTTGTTAACAAAAGAAAATGGAAATCGAGAGCACATTAAAGATGTTTTGTTGGTGATCACAGACGGAATGTCTCAAGATCCGGTCGAGGAAGCGGCACAAAATCTGAGAAATGCTGGAGTGGAGGTTCGTGTTAGCTTCACTGGAAAGGGCTGACACTGCGTTTCTCTTATATTTTCCGAATAATGTTGATTTGCTCTCGTAATATAAAAATACATTGTGCAAACTCATACGTCATTTAGGGTGTACATGACAATAAATCTTATATGCAAACTTATTTCTCCAGACATTCGTACTTCCCGTCAAACCAAACCGAGGATCGTTAAATATTGAACAGCTCCGACACATCGCAGGCAAAGAAGAAAACATGATTATGGCTGCAGCGGAACTGGGATTTCAAGCGTTGACGGCTGAGTTTTCAAAAGATTTGGGAGTTATTATATGTGGTGATCCGTGCGATCATGCCGCTCCAGAAACCCCACTTGACAGGCTGGTCGCCTTCGATGCAATGTAGACAAAATAAATTTTATAGCATTTTTGTAATGTTTAATGATATTTTGAGACTCAAATGTGTCTAATATTTATTATTTAAAATTGAGTTTTCAAAATATGTTATCTTAACGTAAATCATTGTGATTGAGATCTCGGGTTGTTGTGGCGTTTATCGGATAAGATTCTTTTATAAAAGTGAATCATCGAGGTAAAAGTTGCAGGAAAACTAAAAATTGTGTTTATATTTTTAAATGTATCTGATAAGATGTTTGTACCTATATTATTTGAAAATGACTCAATCACTAAGTGCAGACATGAGTAACTCATATTTGTAAAGTATTACCTATATATTTTTTTTATTCATAATAAAGTTTGCTATGAAATCATGGCATATATTTTGTATTGATATTTGTATTCATAAGCGATAAGATGTAGCAAGTTCGCCTGTACTTTCACATAAATGTGACGAAAAGAAAACTAAAATTAAGGATATAATGTTCGATAAAGTTTTATATTTTTCTATTGTAAAATTGAAGTTAATTTATAAGAGTATTACATATAGCACAAAACCAAGAATGTGCTCAGCTCAATTCACGCCTACAACTTTTTATTTTCGCGTGGTTGATGCTGTGATCTGGATAAAAGTCAGTCTTTATTTCTCTACGTAATCATTCGTATTTATTTGTAGTGAAGGTATATAGATGTCTCTCCCTTCACACTATACGGCTGCGGTGCGGTTAGACTAAATCGTCACTAAAGGATATCAGCAACGACAAATATATAAACCTGGGGAAATATCTAAATATACCGATGTCTTGCAATAGTGAACAACCAAACTTTTAAATACAATCATAGTAAGATAAGTTTAATGTTGATTGTTTGTAAAAATACACAGTGCATGTCACAGAAATTTATAAACTTATTATAGAATTGTGATACAGAAATTATTTTTTCAGGTTTTGTCCAGAATACATTTATTGAACAAATATATATATATATACTCCCATTGATTATTGCCAACGAATTTTGTTGCTTATATATATAACAATCATACATTATGACAGGGAAAATTGTAATATATATACCTAGTTTGAACATGCGTCATCAATAATAAAGTTCTAGTAAATTCCAAATTCATTTGTATTTAATGAATATCTTCAAAATTATCTAATTTGGTTTTAATTAAATTCGATCAAGTAATTGTTAAAAAGGAATTATAATGAAGAGAAAAATGTTCGTTGTATTGTCAACATTTACTGAAGACCCTGTTATACTAACGAATACATTAGTAATATAATACTAAGCAATTGATGAGATTCAGCATATCGATTTTTACCACCAACTCCATGTTATCTGGTTATAGTCCCGGATGCAATCCTAAAAACAAAAAAGTTGCATCAAAATATTTGATTGAAAAATTGAATATTACATTGAACGTTGTGAGCTATTTTAATTGGTGTATGCCTCTTACCGCCATTTTTATTAAATTGTTATCGACGAACTAATACATTCTAAAAATTTCTACAATCTACAAATTTCTAGAATTTATGGAAACTTCTAAAATCAAAAAATAAATAAATAAATGGAAGTGAATGAAACTAAATTCCAGAAATTATATCAAATTCTCGTATTGAGAGGCTTCTTAAAGAGTTTTAGGTCAAGTTTTAGATGATATCCACTGAAAACGGAATTTATATATTATAGATTTCAGTGTTTAAACCGTTGAATTATATAAAATAAATGTATAAGAATACTTACCGAAAATATTTTACAATATCCAGGAAATTTGGTACAAGACTCTGTCTTAGACAAGTAATACAAAAACGTTTTGTAATTGACGTACGGGGCCATGTCGAGAACATGAGACACATCCTCCAATACCCATTCGAGAGCGTCTTCGCCATATTTCTCCTGCATGAAATATTTTCTTAGTTAGAACGAATTCCAGTATTTTGATTTTGGATAAATTTTCGTGAAGTAAGAACAATGACATAAACAAACGGTTAGGGATGTTGGTTTCAAACCTAGCCAGCTAAGGATGATTGCTTAACCCATCATGCCACGCCACACATTGTGTAATAAATTGAGTCGGAGTAGTTTTGAACAGAAAAAACTCGTGCCCATTGAAACCAAGTAATATTATTATAGTTGTGAGTGTATACTTGAGTGGATTATGGATGACAACTAAATTTTAAATTTGTAACGTGTTATAACATTCTAGAGATAGACCCATAATATGCATTCTGATTGCAATTTACATGGAATTACCTGGGTCAATATCACACATTGTTATATATATATATATATATACTATTATTTTTTGTTGTTGACATGTTTTGCAACTATGAATACATATATAAGTCAAATATGTACGTACTATGATCATCTCAATCAAATCAGCGCCACATTCATCTATACCTTCAGTTTTTTGACTGCTTAGACTGGTCAACATTGTCATAAGCCCATGCGGTGGGCCTGGTGGACCTTGCGAGTGACAACCTAAACAGAAATAATTATTGTGTTATTTATTTAATTTATACTCTTTGACTTATCATAACAAATGTTCATATGTTTGTCAACAAAGAACGCAACACGGACACTGAAAATAAATTACCACAACATAAAGTTTATCAACAAACGTTGGAAACGCATTAAGTCGCTGAATATTCTGATACAAAATGTTTAAGATCAATTTACAGATCGAATAGTCTCCATGTTTGTTCTGTTTTTATATTTTATTCTGACGTCATACTGATTTTCGCTGTATGATATACCTCATCAAAAAATATATTTACTGTAAAAACTTTTCAATTTCATTCTAGATTGTATAAAAATGATATACTGCGATAAATAAATGGCATAAATATTGTTTTAGCCTCATTTAAGCTTACCGTCTGAATCTTTTGTGAAACACATCGCTATTAACACAATGAGACGTAAAATTTCTTCAAAGTACATGATAAAAGCGCAGCTTTATACAAACCGTACAGGCCTATACTATACGAGCGACAAATTAAAACTGAAATCATTAGCGGATAAAATTATTTTATAACAAAATTATCTACATCATTTTTGTAATTAAAATTAAAGATAATTTTAGGTCTTATAATATTTTACCAGTTTTATTCTTGGTAATGACCAGGTGTTTACATAGCTATCAGTTTCAGAAATCCATAGAAAAATATGTAAAGTTGACGAATATTTCGAACAATTCCATTTAATATTAGATGAGTTTTATAAATGACTCGAGTTGGACTCAAATTTTAGTATTTTTCATTTCTTCTGTAATACCAGACTTGAGGTGAACGCAATTTACACATAATAAAAATAATAAGTTTTACTAATGCACGAAATTATCGCAGATTATTTAAACCAATTTGGTCCAATTTACAGCTTTCTCAACAGTTCATGACGATTTATAATAAAACTGGAAATTCTCAAAAATGATAATTAGTACTATGTCGCTTGTGTTGCGGGTTTATAAAATATTTAATATATGCTTAGTATTAATTGTTATATTAATTATCTCTATAGTATCAAAAAAGTCCTACTCATCCCGGATATGTGTTTATTCGGAAACTTTTATTCTAAACTGAGGTAATTGTTAATCCAGGTAAACTATCTGAAAAGTTGGATGTTGAGGATAATTGTTATACCTTGCATATGGCGTGACACACAGGTCATACTGTGATTGGAAAAATAAATTTGCTCTTTTTTTGAATAGGTTAAAACATCAGTAATAAAAACGTTTTAAATTCATGTATTTATGCATTTGTAGCAGTCGGCTAACCAATAAAATTCAACTAAATAATGTTTTATTTATTATTAATCGAGCCGTCTCCCTTCGCAACAATCGGGTATTATGACGTCACTTATCTGATGCCATAACGTTTTTATTACAGCCTTGAGCTTCATATATTGATGTATTTTATAAAATCTTGTATGACGTAACTGTTGGTGGATCCTCACAAACGAAATAGCCGAGGGGCCCGCATCGTCTAAATGCGGCCCTAGGTTGTTTCATTGTTAATACTTTTTGTTAATTCCAACTTTATTTTTGTTTTGTAACTGGAACGTGTTCAGACGGTTCGACAATAATCTTGATATAAAACAATTTTCAAACCTAATTTATACATGATATATATTAAATACAACGCAACAAGCAATAATCACATTCCTCAACTTCCTTTATTCAAGTAACGGAAAAATTTACGTACAAATCTGGGATCAACGTTAAGCGGATCGAATGTCAGGGCAGTTAATTTTAGACGTCTGTCTTGTGTGTTTTAAACCGTTCGTCAAAATAAAAAATCAATATCAAAGGCAGGGTAAATTAAATAAAAATGTATTGCTCGAAGTATAGTATAATTAGTCTAAGACAGAAACTCGTAAACATTTTTGCTGAGATACGACGCCAAAAGTTTGTACAGAATTACACAATAAAATTTATTCTAATTTGAGACCGATTTGATTACTAATTGAAAACCACTAGTGTAAATGTTGAACTAAATTTTGAGCTTTTGATGTCCTATAAATTAGGCTCTATTTATCTTTAACTGTGGGAATATTTCCTTTGTGGTACTGTTACCGCGGCCATAAACATTTAGCACTCTATTACACACTCTACCAGTCCACAAAATGAAAAAGAATATAAAAGGTCATACATATATAAATATCTGAAATTGAAAAATATTGTACACAGAAAATACCTTCGTATTCTAATGATTGTTTTTGTGTATTGGGTAACCTGGGAATACTGGTAATATATATTCCCGTGAAAAACATTTATTATAGTGTGTTTCATGAACTGTCATCAAATAATGATACCTAGAAATTAAACTTGAAATCTAAATTCGAACGTTCCTTTCTAGGAGTAAAAAATCCGACACCAATTACACTATTTAATTTTTAGAATGCGGTACAGATAAAAGTAAAGCACTGAACCACTGTATTAATTAGAAGGCACTGTTTGTTCTTACACAAATGGAACTGAATAATTAGTCAAAAATTTATAAAATTTTTTTTCATTTTAACCTAAAAATAGAAGATGAAATGCCGCAATGTTAATTATTTAATTAAAATCTATATTAAGATAATTGTTCACTGTCGATAAATTTCTTACAATATCAAATTAAGTTGTCGGTGCGAATAAAGCAATCGTTTGCCAACGCATATTGTACATAATCCCAAAATCGAAGACGCACAAGGAAACAAACGAAGAAATGAACATAAACATTTGTTTTGAAATAAGTTTTCCCGTCCCGTATTTTGAAAAAAGTTTTCAAAGTAATTCGTTGTATCGAATATTGATTTGAAATACTGCATTACAAATTTCCCATTAAAATAAAAAATCCGTAATCGAACGAAATTTACGAGCCCTCAACGCCACTACAAATAGGATCATCGAAATTCACATTTTGGCAAAAACTATGTTAGTACTCTGTACCGAACTTTATTTGCCTCAAAAATAACGTACTTATAATATAATCGGACTGCCATGTGGTGCGATTGATAAAACATTGGCTCTTTGCAGCGTAATCAAGATTTTTGTGATTATCTAGTCCACAAAGAAAATTGTCAAAATTTGTATATAATTATTGTATCAATTAGATATACCGAGGCCACGCGACAGATGACAGTACAAACTACAAAGTGTTTGGCTAACATATAACTATCGCTTTAATATATTATCTGAGAATGTAAGTGATTAGTCACATAGGAGTGAGTAACTTATCTATAATGCCAAATTGACAAATACTGCCAATGCAATGCCAACAGTGGTATCTAAGATTTTATATAATAATGTATTATTTGAGAGTCAATTTGAAGAAGACTTATTTCAGAACATGAAAAAAAAACTGATATTAGTAATACAGATGTCTAAATGGTGTGTCACTGGGATCACTACTGACAGTTTGCTGAAATTAATACAAATTAATTGCATCGTAAATTGCCTTGTAACTCTGTACGTATGCAAAAATGGACACCATTTTGGCTGACCTTAAGCCTTCAACTTTCACAGCAAAAATAATCTCAGTTATCAACATTAGCAAGCTAACCGGTCCTTCAAAACATGAAATTAAAGAATTTATTTTATATATTGTAAATATCGGTCTATCTCAGTCGATATCAAAACAAATACCAATATTGAAAAAATAGCCTATATTACCGATACCCGATATATTGGTTCATCTCTAGTTTAAAATGTTGTTTTCTCCACCAGCAGGGGAGTAATTGCCAACGGTCTATAAAACGCAGTGAAATAGTAGACAGTGTTGAATTCCAGACATAATAATTAACATGCTTGCATTGGACTGAAGTGATCGTCCCTTATTATATTTTTAACAACTAAGATGAGTTTTTCTGTGAAACTTTAAGTACAGAAAAAGTATTTACAGATGATGACAGATTTAGAAAACCGCGACGTTTCGACTATAATTTCCTGAATGTGCAGATAAAAGAAGAAATAATCTCACTGTTTGTATAAGATTGATAAACTGTTATATCCTCATAATTACATATTATATTAATTCGTAACTTTTGATTAAATTCTATATTTGGAATAATATAATTTGGTTAAAACCGCGAATTCATAGTTGGCTCACATTTACAAAATTCAGATTGATGTAAAAATCAAAAACATGATCAAGCATGATTTAATCACTTCCCGGGTCTGCTGTGATAATGCCACAGAACAACTTTAACCATGATGATCAACTCTTTTATTTATTATTCGGCATGGATATGAAAAAATTCAACGAGACATAAGCGGGTATGACGTCAGTGCCATATTGTCTATTCTAAAGTTTTGAAAATTGTTAGCTTTGAAGTTTTTTCATTCAGATTAATCAAGCTCACTCACCAAACATTGGAAAATATGGCACGACTCGCCTAGCTCGCGAACTCAAAGTATGCCGATGATTTCCTTATTTATATCAAAAGTTCGTGCTGACACTTGATGCATACATAGATATTCATCAATTGAAGTGTTTCATTTTAGAATAATTAGGAACATTGTATATTATACGTTGATAATGAAATGGCAATTTGAACTATCGACGTATCGGTATCGGCGAAAAAGTGATATCGTTACATCTTCATTTTAAACGTGTGGAAATTTGATGTTTCAGACGAAATGAGTCATATATTAAATATTTGTGTAATTTATGAAGAAAACAAACCATCATTGAACGCTGCTTTTTGGTATACAATCTACGAGTCTTCAACTGAAAGGCGACGGAGCACTGCTAGAGAATAATAATAATGAGGTTGCGAGCGGCCATAATGTGTTAGAGCTGCTGATGGCCGTCGGCGAACGCTGCTACCGTAGCCCCAAACTGCACCGAAGTAGTAATGTATTATACACACTCCTGTCTGAATACGTTTTGTAGTAATATGTCAAATATGAATTAAAAAAAAAAAATAATGACCAGTCGAGGAAATTTCTTGGATGCGTCGTTTACATGTCTATTTTTCGTCTCACAAGATCACGAATGGTTTGGGCCGGGGAAAGGTTAATTGGAAATCAAAAGAAGGCAAGGAAACCGCAGTGTAATATGGTTTCTGATAGAATCGACGATAAATCATCAAACTCAATCAACCAACCCGAAGTCAATCTGTAATCTCATAGATAATGAAAAGTGGGTAACTTACCTAAATACATAACCTAAGTTATGTAAAAAAAATTAGAAACAATAATTTTTTAATTTATATTTTTGAAGAAATCGACCATATGACTTACAATTGTTATCTTTACTGGGAAGCGGAAAAAATAAACAACCACAGATCATTGTTTGAACATTGAATCGATCAATTTCTACGAAGTGTGATGATGACAACAAGAACAAGTGTTCAGAAAATCGTTATTATGCCTGAAGCAACGTTTTGCCAGGTGTGAAATACCAAAATTGTTATCTAAGATTTTGAAAGACAAAACTGGCCGCAATCCGCTGGAATTTTGAACTTTAATTCACTCAGCGTCATTCAGTGTTGTTGGTGAATACGGTTCTGACATACGGCGTTGTTTGGGTGTATATAACTTCACAACAGACTTGACAGTTTACCAAGTGAAGTTTTCAAAACAAAATAGTTTTAATGCATAAATCAACTATTATAAAACGCTTGTTCTGAAAATGCAGTATTCCGAGTAAGGAAATTTCACTAATCCGTATGAAATCTTACGAATAGCAATTAGGAAATTAAAACATCGATGATATACTAAATTCACTCTTCGTATATTCTCTACCACTGTAAATTATTGCAGATAAGTTGATACAGATGTTTCACAGCACAGAAAATTTGAAAATATCTTGAAAGCAATAGAGGATTTCAAATCTTACACATCACATAAACAAGAATAGAATGTGACAACGACCACTCCTTTTGTATGTGTTAGTAATGCTTTGACAGTGATGCGCAAAATTTGAAATTCTCTAAATGCATTCATTTGCATTACATTTTTGCTATATATATATTTTCATTGTATTTCAAAAAGATTGCTTTGAATATCCGTTACAAACACAGCAAACAAAAATATTTATCCCACATAATTGTTAACTCTGATAGGCAAAACCTTGATCGTGCAAACATTTTTGTTTCAAAGAATAAAAAATTATGCGTTTAATGTAGGCTGTGAAAACCATTTTCTACGTTACGATCCCCACTCTTGTATTCTATACTTGACGCGTTGAGTCTTATTATGTAAGATCTCGGATTTTTCAAGCCTAACAGACATTTTAAGTTTATAGTATAGGATAGTTTTCTGATGTTATAGGTTACCAAAACTAGTATCATATCATAAAAATCAAAGCAACAATGAATTAATGGCAAGAATTAGTGCCATATAACTTACATATTCATATAGCTACCTTTACCAAACTGACTAGGTACTGAGGTAATAGCGAAGAAAGGGACTGAGGCATTAAACAAATGGATTATTCAGACCTATGTAAGCAAAGCTTGGGCACGCATTTACTCTAGTGGGCACGAGCTGCCCGTCAGTGTTATTTTTATGTTGAATGCTAGTTGAAACCAGTTTCTTTCCCATCATTGTTAAATCATACATTGCAGCCATACAAAACTTTACATGGTCGGGTTCACCATTAAAAGATTTGTTTAGACATCTTAATAACCTAGAATATATTAATGAAAATTGAAAATTCAATGTTGATGCCAATGTGCCCCGAACATATGTAAAATGGTTCGGATTTGATACAATCGGCCAAACACCGTCTTCAAAAAATGTTATTGTACTACCCGCGTAACAGTATTTCCAAGGAGACTGCAATGTCTTACACCATTTGGATATGTTCAAACATTCGTAGTAATCTAGAACGTCATTATCTCTAATTTTAATCACTTGCGACCGTGAATTATTTCTTGAAAACGATAATAGTGTGACAACGTAGAGGAGACGTTTCGTCATCAAATCTTCAAATGGCGAGCAGGATGAACCTCCTTCTCCTTCATAGACAATCTCTATTATTGACCGAAGAGCAGATGACAGATCGGTCACTTCAAAAATAACTTCAGATATTTTGTCTAAATTTGGTGTAGACGTGCATACACCACTATCATTAAGCGTCATATTACTCGATGATGCACTTAGAACTTCATTTCCATGAGCCTCTCCAAGTGGCGGAAAAGTCCCCATCGTTTGAGATACAGATTCAGCAGCACATTGTCTACTCTCAGCAGTGGACGCTCTTTTATACCAGTGCCTTGAATTCATTTGTTTCTTGGTATCTCCGGTGAATATGGTCGAGGTGACGTTTCGATTAGATTTGCTATCATAATCAGGTTCCCCAAGTACTCGGAGTTTTACACAAGATTCCAGCTGAGCCAGTTTTAAGGCTATCTTTGCATAAAAGCCACCGACAGTATGCAAGTCCTCGTCATCAATTTGAGCCAGTTTTGAAGTAGCGAAGTCTCTTATATTGTCCAAATTTTTTCTGTTGTAATATGTTCTTTGCTCGTCGGTGCTCCGCTCATTTCTTTATTCGAGTTCACTGAATGTTTCTTTTGTCCTTTACTCTCTTCATTTCTTAGAAATTTTCTCAGTAATGCAGATAATCTTGAATTTCTTTCTGGTGATGAGTTTGTACGTTTTTCTGTTTCTGAAACCAATTTCCAAAGTGTAGCAATGTGACCGAGGAGCTGCAAAATATGATTTGACAATTGTCTACTTATCATCACAAATTTCCGCGACAGACTGGTGCATAGAAAATAATCCTCACTTAAAACATTGCCCATCACAGGCGATATATACATACACAGATATGTATATATATATTATAGATTAGAAGGTATAAATGAGGAAACTTCTCTCTATAATCTAGCAGCTGAATCTTATTATTTAATTCTGACGTTGAGTTTATTGGTGAAAATATCATGTACAAGTATACCTGTTTTTTTACCTTCGACCAATGCATACAATCAATTATTCGCACCTAAACTTTTACCTTTTTGCCTCTGTCATTGACGGGACGTTCAATAGCCGAGAAAATGTCCTTAACTGTTCCGATTGACATTGGTCCTAACGATAATACATTTCCTCTCGCAAGCCCGTAAATACCTCCCAGAGTTGGTGTTAAAGGATAACTCGGATTGTGAGATGTAAATATAGGAATGCCTCCAATCTATTAACATATATAGTGTATTACTGGAATTATGCATTGTGAGAAGTTCTATACGAAAGGGAATGCAGTGAATGATATTTACGGAATATGATTAGTTGTCAATTTGAAGAATGTATATATATCGCTGTTTCACAATGTTGATGGAGCACACAGTACTTCTTTTATGTTGGGATTTTCAACTCCATTTTTGCAATAATCCAAATTGCCCAAAGATCAATCTATTATATAGTTTTTTCAGAATTTATCACTTTAATTGTAGTAGCTGATACACGAGAGAGAAGCTGGTCAGTTTTGGTCAGTTTCGAAAAACTATTGATAAATGATTATGAAAACAGATATTAGCAAATAAAATTACTGAATAAATAAATATGATCAATGAATATATTTGATATTTTAACTTGTAAGTGTACCGACATACCGAGTTTAAAAGATTACTGGCAAGAACCATGTGTCTCATCTCATCATTGACGGTTTTTTTCAAAATGTCCGCCACCTCTTTATTTCGACCACGCTCCCATTTTATACTGAGCCAGGCCGTCAGATACGGCGGTATGACCGCAAACTCGAGGAAAAGTGCGTTATGTATATCCAGCTTCAGCTTTTCAATTTCTTCTTCAAGTGCTTTACTACTACATATGTTCTTTGAGATTTTTTTTACTGAAATAAAAAATGCCAAAAATATCAAAAGTTTTATCTTTTATCAAATATATATTTTTCTTTCTGTAAAATTGCATTTGATTGATTGACATTTTGACGTTATATTGCACCATAAATATTTACAGTAATATAAATATTTTTTCTACATCAGGTAACAACTCTATTTTAGATGGATTAGTTAAACAATTTTGTTTCAGTTGCATATGTATTGAAGATTATGAAACGAGGGGAGCATATGCAAATATAGTATTAGGTGGTTTTTTAAATTTATACTATAACCACAAAAATGTGTATTTCCAAATATAACATTTACTCTCGATTTTGTTTCTAAAACACTCTTTGATAAAGGATTGAGTAATTACATCATCATCACATTACCTTTTTGAGATTTACCTTCTTTCATGCCACATTTCATCCAATTCCAAATCAAACGTCTTTTACTGTAGGATAAATCGCGCTGTGTCGGCATGAACCTGAATAGATAATGAAGCAAAGTAGTTTTTAGTTGAAGTTACATTTGTACGCAGCGAACCAGCAGATACAGTCGCTATTTGTGGATGGTTCGAGCAATCTATTTTGCAACTTAACTTTATTCACTGGTTACTTTACTATACTTTCAATATTTGAAACAGTATATAATCTGCTCAATATACACTTATTATTTTATCGTTTTGGGTCATCCTGTACAATCGTATCGTTGTACTGTGTTCGTGAGCTGACAATAAAGACATTGCCTCGTTAAAGTGCCTGACAGACTGGAGAATTAGTGCAGGCGCTACAGTTTCCATTTGTCGTCTTTGTTCGTGAGCTGACAGTAAAGACATTGCCTCGTTAAAGTGCCTGACAGACTGGGGAGTTAGTGCAGGCGCTACAGTTTCCATTTGTCGTCTTTGTTCGTGAGCTGACAATAAAGACATTGCCTCGTTAAAGTGCCTGACAGAATGGGGAATTAGTGCAGGTGCTACAGTTTCCATTTGTCGTCTTCTGACGACAGAGGAAACGTCTTCCTCCAAACAACAAATAAAACCCAAAAGATCTTTTCTAGGCTACAACTGCACCGATATATACATTACCAGGATTCGATTTGATTTTGCATTTGAAAAAGATTTACGAGCGAGAATGGACTCTTTTATTTTCTGCCTTCAAAAATATTTCTCGTTCCAAATCATGAGCATGTTTTGGACAATAATCTCTGCTAGTGCTGTCTGATCAACAAGGTCAGTGGGAAATGAACGATGACCTCATGGGTTTCGAGAACTGGTGTACGAGTAGGAATGTGGTATGCTTTTAAACCAACTCATATAATGTTATGAACATTTGTTGCACATGTCATGTACTTTTCTCTGAAACAGAAATTTCATACCTAGGGTTCTCCATATCGTACTCGAACATTGCCATTTTCAAAAGGCGAGCTTTTGCTTTGACGTCTTCATAAGAATTCGTGTCGATTATCTTGTTTTTCCACATAACAGGATACAAATTATAATAAAGACGGAAAATATCTGTGATAATTATGGGGCATGTTTTTAAAACGTAAAAAGGGGTATTCCGTTTCTATTGTTTTTTTCAATTAAATTCAAATTATGGTAGAATAAAAAAGCTCGCGGTATAGTCTTACAACTTTATTGAAAAACATTCCACTGAAAAAGTCACATACGAATAACATTTGTCAACATTTACCTTTTATATCCTGCCAAGTCGGACATTCGACATTTTCGACCTCATCATAAACCCTAGCAGCGATTGGTATAGAAGTAATATCAATATGGGATCCAGTGACTTCTTCATTTGAACCCTCTTCAAAAACATACGAGTGAGACTTGGTGCTGTGTCTAATTTAAAAAATAAGAGTGAATCGATCGAAATCTGGTAGACTCGCTCTACATAATGTGGACATAATCAAAAATTTGAATGCAGAATAGTGAAAGAAACTTAGTAAAAAAAATAGAGAAGCTATGGAGATATTAGATGAATTTTTTATTGAATCCAAATCAGGTACTTCAGATGAGATGAAAATCCAGCGACATAACAACAAGAACTGACTTTGAAGTCTTGAACTACGCCATTTTTCGGTGGTAATGAGCTACATAAATGTGTCCCACTGTGCCAAATGTGGCATGTCATGAGCTCGATCATGGCACATGAATAATTTGGTAAAAAGTAATTCTTGTATTCATGATAAATCATATAACTCACGTTATATCGAAATAAACTTAACTGTTCATTTAAACATTGCTATCTCGTAGCTGTGTTATCATTAATGAAAATAATATGTAAGTACACCAGACTACAGTAGCGAACGGTTAGGTAGATAAAACGTAATTTTCCTATTTAGCGTATATCGCAATATAGAGCAACTGCTCAAAATAGTCATGTCATGTCGATGATTTGGAAATTGTAATGTATCATGGGTGTAACACACGAGCATCACACTCAATCAAACACTGTGCTGAGGTAAAGGTAACGTTGGGGACTAAATCGTGACTATAGTAACGTGGTATAAAACACCCATTTTCATAAACTAGAACAATTTCTACTAGAGCTCAGATATTTAGGCGGTAAAATTTACCTTACTAAGATTTGTAAGGGATAAATCTGCCCATCTAATCCACATTGTCTTGGGGATCCGGGTGAGCGAACGCCATACATGTCAAAGACAACGATTCCAGTTGAATTAGTAAACGGTTTTGTCCCAACAGGTGTTATTGAGAGAGCTGCCTCTGGCCATCCTAAAGTGCTGTGAATATTCATGAAACTGAATTTAATATTTAAAGAAAGAAATAGGTACAAACAGGTTCTACACAAAACATGTGTTTTCCTCCTAATCAGTGTAGCGAATTGTACCATCGGGATTTATGTGATAATCTCTGTGAGATGCTTAAGTCTCAATTTAATCCATTGCCCTTGCAGTTTTTCATTAAATTTTTCAGCGTTAAATACAAATTAAAATTTAAGAAAATCTAAATTGTCGATATATATATCTTTATGTGTGTGTTTTTATCCAACGAGTTGAACAATTCGTGGATGTTTGAAGAAAAACATTCTTGTGATCGAAAACGTTTTACAGCAAAGGATTTTTACATAGTTCACAAAACGTGATTAGAGTTAGATGGTATTTTAGATTAAAGTCATTTTGTAAAATACTTTTTTAAGGCAATTTGCAATACATTTTTGAATTTTGTTTCTCATACCTGTTGCAATGGAATGGACAAGGTCCCATTTTAATATGCTTCAAAGATTTGACATTCACTTGTGATGCTGCAGACGGCATACCGAATCTGCTTACAAAAACTGATAAACGTTGTCTCTCACTCGGATTTATTCTGTGGACAGCTGGTCCCATAATACCGACATGCATACCAAACTTTGATTCCGTTAGTAATAGGTTCCAAGGTCTGTAGAAATGTTTGAATGGTATTATAAAAATGGTTTGCCTTTTTCGCTGTATACATATTACTCCGAATTTCGTATGACTTAATAATATTTAGGTTGTACAATATTATGCCTGTTTCATTTCATTCGAAGAGATACTATAGTAATATACTACTATATTGCTTAAAGTATATATAATATCGTCACGCTAATAACCGAATTGCGTAAGTCATTTTTAGCAGTTTTGAGAAAAACGTAAAAAACTTCCTAATGATATTGTTTATGCCATTGAGAGTCAATAATTTGCCATGGTTCAATTTTTTTTATCGTAGCCGGATTTAAGTTAATTTGTTTGACGCAGTTAGTGACGTCATAATGGCGCACTGTGACTTAGGCAGGAATGTGGGTATGACCAAAGCGTATATATAATATAAGCGAGGCAACGCTCTGACAATGGACGCCATCTTGTGCCTATTGTTCTCGTGAATTTAACACGGCGCCTTATGAGAAGTTCCAACACAATTATTGAAACATACCTATTATTTTCACTAATATTTTAGGTAAAAATTTTTTGAAGGTCGTGTTTTGAAGTAGAATCTTAGCCGTACATGCTTATATTGTTTCATGTTGGCCAAATTACATTTATAGTACATTAAATTGTCTTTGAAGACAAGTATACCGGTTCCGAGTTGCTTCCGAAGTAAATTGGCTATTCTTATCGTCATAATTAACCATTTGACAATGGCGGTTCCTTAATGACGTCACAGATGAAAAGTTGTATTTATTCGTCGAAATTACCGGCCGAACCAACTTTGCTTCAATGGTCGTTTCTATTTTCTGCTTAAGATTTTTCGTCTGTAAAGCTCCATAATGCCCTACTGCTCAGCTCCAAGCTGCGCTAGAAGAACAAATGACATTGTAGGATTGTTGCGGAGGCATTTTACAGCCTCAAATTGGCGTATCAGTATAAAATCTTTGAAAAAATGACCAAAAATGGTTCTACGCTGTGTTTGTGGTCAAATTTAACGCATTAGATAGTTTTTTATTCCTAATTGCGATATATATATATACAGATAGCATATATCTTAAAGTTCAAAATCCACCCTTCGGTTTCATTCTAGCCCTTATAACAGCGGACTTATTCGATTCGGTACAACAACACGACGAAAGTTTCCCATAAGACTGCATTGTTTCGCGTTTCCCAAATATGGCACAGATGGCGTCCATGAACTTGATTAACATTAGGCAAGTTGGTTGCCGCCGTTGGGTATGACTTGGGGACATACGCAATTATGCAACTTTACTACGTCTGCACACCCACCGAAATAAGACTAAGATTTAATATAAAAAATAAAACAGCAATGCACCAATATAAAGCCAACAAAGATTAATTGGACTCGGTCGGACAGTGAATATCACAAGAGCACGTCTTCCTGTACTGTAGTATAAATTCAAATTAATACGCGCTAAGCTAGAATCCGAGATGCAAAAACTCTAAGATACTTCGCGAGATTATTTTGGCCTTTGTAACGTCACAATAGTCATGCGGTAACAATGATGATTCATTATGACAAAACAATTGCACAAATGGCATGTCATATTAAATGTCCATTTTTATAGATTTCGGAATTTCTAAAATAAAATCTGAGTTAATAGACAGGTGCGCAGCATAACATAAATACCCTATTTTATAAAAAAAACTCAAAATCGCCAAAAATGACTTACGCAATTCGTTATTAGCGTGACGATATATAAGTATACTTATATATAATATAAGTATATAAATAGCCTATTGCTCCTGGAAACATACTTGCTATCAGGATTTTTGTTTGACACAAAGCACCAGTTTGATTTTGCCGTAAACAACTTCATCATTTGTCGTCAACGTCTTTCAGACCTTATATCAAGAACTCCGCCAAGCTTTTCATACCAATTCAGCGCCTGCATTAATTCGCCTTGAAATCTCCCCATTGGTTGTCAAAAGATGCAAAGTTGTCCCGTCGGGTTTGTAATTCTTCAAACATAGCTCCGGAGACAGTAATTCTTTATAGAAGACGTCAAATTTGAAATGAAATAATTACAAAATCGAGCACAAGTAAGTCAAATGTATATAACCTAGTTATAATATTACCCATTGATTACGACACTATTATCACAGTCGTGGTTAATTACAGACATCTAAAATGCTTTTTGGCATTTATTTCACAAAAATCCTCACCTACAGGCATCTTTTGACTTAACTAGCACTCCAATATCAACAATCTTAGTTGTTTTAAATATTCCGAACTTATCACATGTGATTGCGTTTGACATATCCATAGTCAAATACTTCTCTTTATAATGAACGAAAACGGAGCAAAACCCACATTTTTCCAGCCATCTGCCCTCATGACTCGTGTTGCGACTGTTTGAACCGGATCGTCATTTGACGTTAACCCTGAAATGCATCATTGAAATGCTAAAGAGATATTAAATAACAAAGTATAGGAACAACTCCCGAAACAGTATAATTACTAACGAAATATGCCATATGTTCCTGCTTGGCGGAATAAGGTATACTCGACTTTCGCAGTGGGGTAGCGATATTTTATTCCACCTCGTTTTCCGACTGTGGTCGAGGTGAATCTATTGTTAGGTTACTTTATGAAGCGTTTTTACTGTTCATAGGAATTCTCGCTGTTTATAATCACTTGGTATGGATGTGATATGATGACTGCTTTATATCTATGGGTTAATTTTTTTTGAGAAGATTTGAGAAAGACTTCTCAATTAGGAAGTTGTTTCAAACTGCAACCGCGTAAAGTGGACTTGGTAACATCATGAGGGGCTGTTATCACTGTTAGTTATTAATGGCAATGTTAACTATAGGAGATAACTTCCAAGTATTCTTATCTGATTAAAAGCGCTCTGTTCTACAATGTTATAATTAAATAGCACATATTCTTGGTTACATATTGGCGATATATCATAGAATAAAGATCAGGAAAATAAATACAGAGCGTAAAGTAGCAAATTAACAACAACATCGGGATCTTCACAATGTACGCACATTTGGGTATAACACACTAGCATGCTATAACCCGACAGAGTCAAAATTGCAATATCATGACAAACCCATTGCCAATATAATATCGACATGCAGTGTGCTATGAATTGTTCCTGCATGATTCTGAATAACAGAAGATTAAACATTTGAAATATCCTGATAAAATGTTCCACTTACCTATTGTTCCAGTTATTCGCCCCCGGGTGAGATCGAATCTAAACTGATCCAGAACAAATGAGATCGACAGCTCTGTGGCGTTATTAAACATATGCTTGTAATGATTGCTGAACCATTTGATATTTGATAACTTACTGTATAAAAACAAAAAACAGTTGGAACAACGAATTACATTTAATTTTTTTTGTCCTGAAACATATTATTTTATCAGATGGAAATTTGATTTTCCAGGAAGGATTCTATGTTATATAAATCGTGAACACTGTAAAACTACTGATGTTGCCTGCTGTTAAAATAGTACTGCCATGTTACGGCTACTACTGTGAAATTATAAATGGACACCATGCTACGACATAGTCTATCGCAATCCCCTGTATATATTTATATATCCCAGGCTTGTTACAACATACAATATACAACATGTACGGAAGAAGGTATTATGAATCGTTATTACATTCCCTTATTGCTTTAACATGATTGTTAATTGGTGAATACAGTCGGAGACATATTTAGCATAATAACACAAAATTAACATAATTTGAATAAATATCCAGGCGATTCCAAGCAGAATGTTTGACGAACCACAAAGTTTTTTTTTGCAACTGAACAAATACAAGAAAAATGTATATAGCATACACACTGATGTAACACCAATGAATACAACTATGAATTATCTAGAAGAATACAGTGAACATGTGTGAACTATCATATCTGAGAACACCAAGAGGTAAATTGCGCCGGTAATTAAATTGAGTACTGTAATTTATAATGTAGTTCGATTAAACCGTTGCATTTTGAGGGTACTTTGCATTTGATGAGGACATTTGTACCATAAGTAGGTAAGAATACTTTGGTGATACAGAAATCTCTATTTTGAAAGTCTTTGTCATGTCTTATTGCTCACAATATATCAGTGTGATATAGCCGAACGAATAATATTTGAGCTAATTTTGCTACACATTGATATTCGGTAATATTTATGAATTAGCTGGCATCATTTATTTCACGAGTGCTTTCAGTCAACAAGAAACGATGTCATTGCAAATTACTTAAAGCAAACGTCAAAGTAAAAGATGCACGCATTATAAATATTATTGTGATATTTGATCCCCTTAACACTATGCAAACCTAATAATATGTACAAGAGTCAATTTTTGCAATATTCGTGGATGTCATGTTACCTTTTATAAGTTGTGCTTTTGCTCACATCACCAGAACTCCCAGCTAATCGTTTCCTCATCTTCCTCATCGAGACTCTGGAATATTTCGCTTCCAGTATCCTTGGTATGATTATCGTGAGACCCCATATTTCAGATGCCTGTTGCCAATCAGGATCCAAGTCTACAATTACTGCCATTTCAGTTTCTGTTTGACGATAATTGTGGCGGTCACTATTTAACGTTTTATTAGCGCAGTCTATTAGGCGCAAAAAAATCGCTAGCGGGATAGAAGTTATATACATATTTATTTGTTGTTACACCAAATTTGTAGTAAAACTCGGGAGTGTTTTATTTATAATAAATAATTTGTTACATAGGCATTGATAGTCACGATATCGGACATTAATTAAAATTCTGATTGCATGTTTTGATTATTTGTTCAATACTTCATTTCAAAGGGAAAATTGCCGGGTTTCTCGTACCAAAAATGACAAAATGGAGCGTAGGGATTAATCAAATACAACTCACCACGGATTTTCATGTTGACTATTTTATCTGTCGTTGAACATTTCCCAGGTTTTTTGCAAATCGATGTCACTTTTGTATCGATAAAATACAAATGACCGCTGCCATCGGGATTCCAATTTCCGAACTGTTGAAGATAAAATTTTAAAATTCATGTGGAGCCTGAAACTCTTGGGGGGTAAGACATATAATCTCAATGTAAGGAGTTCCATAGTGTGATCTCATGTTAAAACTATGTATTTCTCAATCGATGATCGATATTTTTTTTATCTAGTCTTTAATCTTTGAGGTTATGTACGTGTTTGGAGTATTAAAATCAAACATTTCCTTGTTCATCATTACTTGAGATTGCGAAATTATAAAATATCGCCACGCTATACCCCCGGTTTTTAACCAGCGGGCCATGGCTAACTGCTGGGCCACAGAAACATTTGAGGTGGGCCACAAACCTATAGAATATTTCTATTAGTATTGAAAAATTTGGTCTGATTTACGTCACTATAGTTAGATTTTAATTGTGGTAGCAATGAACGGTGCTCTTTTCCATTCTAATTATTAAGGTGAAAGTGTTTATTTTTGCGAAAGGAGATTTTATTTTACTTGTAGTTTATACCTTGCATAAAAAAGTTAATGTGTAACAGAATATTTAGGCTAAGAAAATGGGCCACGAAAGAAATAAGATTGAGAACCAATGCGCTCGTCGATTAATGGCAAAAAATGACAGTGCTAATTGAACATTTAATCACAAATCCTTCACTGTGCGTTCAAAAAACTGGAAGTTTATTGGAAGTTTTTGATAACTCGAACTCCGAGGAATCCAGCTGGTAATGACCATTTCATGCTTTAACAAAACTTTGTATGTGAGCTTTCATGCACCCGCACCAGCTACCATTCCATGTCGGTGGGAAAAGTGAACTACTTATTCGTTTCAGATGCATGGATGGTGGAGATGTTGATCTGAAGATGATCTAAAGATTGGACATGTTTGGAGTACGATAACTAGTATCAGACTCTTAAATTACTTCTGACAAGCAAGTTCAACACTTTTCTACAATTATCTACCCCCCATCTCCAAATATTGGTTTAATACTCTACACGTTTACATTCGAAATGAAAATACGGCTAGGAATCCTCTAGAACAGTGGTTCCCAAACTTTTTTGACCATCGCCCCCCTACACTAGTTTATACAACTTCATCGCCCCCCGGCACTACAAAAAAATGTAAAGTCAGAAACGAATATATTCCAGACCGAATAAGGAGACAAATCATAGTTTATGGTGTTTTTTAATGAGATGGATGAGCTTGGTGTTCTCCAGCGAGTTTTTTATTATATCTGAAATTACCCAGTTTACTGATGGAAAGGCGATTTCGTTGTTTTGATAGCAATAGAAGCATGGCTCAAAAAATCCTTTTCGCCATAATAATAGGTCGGAAATGAACGATTCCAGGGTTCTACCTCCTTCAAAACCGCTGTGTACTCTTGTCTTATAGCATTTCACTCCCTAAATTCACCCCATTTCACATTAAAATAATGAAAACAAAGTTAATTTTCCCAAAGTTAAAATGATGATTTTCGTACATCTCATTATTCCTACAGCCTGATGACCTGCACTAAAATACTTCGGTAAAATTCATCCCCGATTCCTCACCCTACCACGGCCTCCAGTCCGATCACCAGTCCATAGAATTAATCAGCTATTCGATTTTGGATTCATGGACTCGGATGTGGAAGGAGTTGTGACCGACTGTCGACTACGGCCCAGGGGTCGGCAAATTTTATATCGCTCGCGAGACAAAATTTAGAATTGCTAGTCTTTTGCGGGTCGCATATATTTTTAAAAGTTAAAAACGGAACAGCGCGCGAAAACTGCGACAATTCGTGAACTCAACTTAATCGTCTTATTAAAAAATTATTACAATGACTTTTAATGTGACACTGTCTTGTTGCTGCATCACGCTTGATAGCTTTACGACGCCAAGATTTGAAGATTTTCTAAATGGGCTAATCCCAGTTCTTTGCTTGTTTCTTGTAATGTCTCCGTTTTCGAAAATAATTGTTCGCACAAATATGTACTTCCAAACATCTTAAGTGAATATTCTCGCATGGTTTGTGAAATTTTGATAAAGATTTTCTTTAAGAAGATACACTTTTACAAAAATTAAGCAGTGATGAATCTCTCGAATAGAATATGAATTTTATTTTCTTATAGCATTGCAATATATTCGAATATTTACTGCGCTATTGAACCCCTGCCCTCAACAGCAACTTTTTTTTCTTCGTGTTTCCATTTGTCTAATTATAATTAAATTGTAGGCTCGTTAAACGAGTAGCTAGCTGTTCAATATAATTTTTAGGATATGATAAAATTTAGCCTAAACGTGTTTCACGATAAATTCTGTTACGTAAGAAAATGTAATTTACTCCTCGAGCGTAGATTATAAATAAAATAAATTCATCGTCAAAACCGCCGTTTGGATGTTTACCCGGGCATAGACTTCTTTGTTTGCATCGTGACATTGGCCAATCAGCAAGATGCAAAAATAAACGTAACAATTCCCCCCCATTCGCATCCGCTCAGACAGACTTTCAGACGTGGTCGTGAACATTTCTCATTTTTGCGTTTTTGGATTATATATATTCTTTAGTTTTTAGTTGTTTTTCGGAAGTTTAAATATAAATCATATACGTCAATGATTACTTTGTCTTCCTATGAGTTTCAGTTTAAATACAGTAATCAAAAATTGATGTAAAAATAGTTATGATAGACTAGGCTAAAAAATTTTAGCGGTACTTTTAAAAAACAGATTGTTGAATGATATGAATTATGATGATAGATTGAAACAAATACCCCATTTTACACAGGCCACAACTTTAAATGGTAAAGTATAGGAAGAATTTTCCGCGGTCAAAGGTCGGGGATAGGTCCATTCGGTGAATCGTCCCGGGCCAGATTTTTTTTACTCGGGCCGTATTTTGCCAACCACTTGGATACGCAAACTACAGTATCTTACTGCGGAGACGAGTCCAGTAATCCTTTCGCGTGTGATAATCGACCACGAGATTCAAGCCTGCGAATGCACACAGAGTACAGAATTAAGTGCACTGTGCGCCGAGCAAAAACAGGTTTCGCGAAATCGCCCCCCTATCGCCCCCTTCGACTTTTTCGCCCCTCTCTGTATCGTTTTCGCTCACCGGGGGGCGATATCGCCCACTTTGGGAATCACTGCTCTAGAATTTTGGATAGCTAGGATACAAGTTTTACTTACGTTTTCAGAAGCGGAGGCAGTAAGAAACTGTTTTGTGTCATAGTTACATCGATTGTTATTCACGGTTGATACATCTAATACTAGTTTTCCATGAAAATGAATTCGTGGCCATGAAAGATAGCCTGCATTAAAAAGACATTTTAATTTAATTTTTCATGATTTCAGTTAAAATTGTGTTTATGCATGTTGTTACTACATGAGTCAGCTCATGACGTTGATTTCGTTTTCCATTCATGCACTGACATCACGCAATCAATCGAACACCTAAGGAAGTAAAACCTAACTTATACCAATATAAATTCTTGATTGCTTTAGGTAATTGTCCCCTTTTTCCGTTTCCTTTTTCTATAATTTTTATCAAGATCTGTTCTTAATATTTGCGCACAAAACATCTTCTTTATATGCTTTCATCGAATAGAACAGTGCTATAGGTGTAGATAACGAGGTTCAAACCATAATATGCTAAAAAATGAACAATCCAACATCGCGATCCCCTTTTCCAGTCAAAATGCTACAGGTATTTTGAATAGCAGTGGGTCTTTAAAATTCGTTAATTTTAATTGTCAAAACGGAAAAAAGATGAATACTTACTTGGACAAAACTGGAACATGCAAGGTCGCTGTTCTTCTTTGGTCACTTTGCAGGATGATGTGGGATATTTGCAGGTTTTTCTCCATCTAGTTTGAGATCCGCGTCCACACGTCACACTGCAAGAAGACCACTGGGTCCATGAAGGTTCTATTGGATTAAATAGAAATATTCTCAAGCTCCGAAAACGTAGTCTGTTGTTTATAGTTTAAATTAACCTTTCTAGAAAGGGTAAAACCGATGTTCTCGATTTACGGTAATCTGTCAATACTAATATCAAGTCAATTCGCCGACTTGGACTAGGAAAATGTACGTTTAGTTCCAGTCGATATCATACACAGAGAAAGCGACAAAACTGGCCTCCGTTGTCGTTTGTGACTTCCATATCAGAAAGTCATACTATTTGTGCTAGTACTTTTGAAACAACTACCATAAAAACTCTCGCGAGCTATTCGCGAAGAGATAATTATTTTTCATGTTCAACCTCGCCATTATTTCTGAAATGAGTCCTATTATTAAATTGCTGTGACATTAGTCCTGACAAGAAACGGTCTCGTTCTGTAGAAAGCATATTGTAAATTTAATATTACTTACCAGGAACAGAAGCCGTGCAAATTATTGGAAATAAAACCAGACAAAGCAGAAACGATGATGAATTCATTTGTTTATTATCTTCTAAAAATATCAAATAAAAGAAAATAACAATACGAATGAATATTCAACTGACAATGCAACTATCTGTTTTTATTGCATAATGGATGTCACCGATGTCAAATTTGGCATTGCAATGACGACATCGACAACGAAAAGACGAGAATATCGGTCAGAGACCAAAGACTTATCGATCGAAAGTTAGGGGATCCCCCAAAAGCGCTCTTACTCCATAGTGACATCTTGTGTCCCATCACTAATTAATCAATAACTCGCTAATTATACGACATAATTCATCCAAAATCAATAGGCTTCTGGTCCGACATATGATGCTGCACATGCAAAATCTGAAGCAGATTCAATCTCGCTTTCGTGAGATATTGCGTGCATCTAACAGACAAACAGACAGACAAGTAGACAAATACCTATCAACATACTCACCGATTAAAATCGATAAGTGATAAGGTTAAAAGTGTTGTGGCCTGATATTGGCTGAGACCTGCTATCAGAAACGTATGACAATCAGCTCGTAAACATTGTTATGCAAAGTGAGGTGAGCTAGTGATCTTGACTAGCATGTTGACTTACCCTCGACATATGATCTGGTGATTGACCCAAGCAATGTTATCACAATTTTATTATATTTCAGCTGTTTTTTAGTTTACATGGCGTAACTTTATAATTTTAAAAAAGATAGTCGCACATGATTCGTTATTTATTTTATTTTGAAGGCAACATTACTAATTTAATATATACCAATTCTTACTCGACCTTTTATCATATACAGATAAAAATAATATACCTAGCCTACCAATTTTTTTACAAACACGTTTTGCCAGTCCGCAAAATATAATTAGGATTTGGCATCTTCGGTGCAACTGGGCTCAAGAGATTAGATAAATTGTTAGTTAGGGGTTACGTGAAACAAACTACTGCATACCTTACCTTGGCGTATATGGTTCTGTATGCGTAATATGCAAGAACGCTGTAACGAGAATAAATATGACTATTATATTTAATTCAAGAGTCTTGCTGCACACTAACACAAATGTATTTCTGCATCGGGTCAGACGAAACGTTACAGAAATATATTTGTGTTAGTGCGCAGCGTAAATCTTGAATCAAATACAAACTAGATTTATCAAATACAACAAGATTCCACACTGTAAAATTGATTACTATTGCTCCCATCACTAACCCTGCCAGTAGAAAAAATTACATCAATATCCTCGTGATAACATCCTAACATAAGTGGGGATTAAAATTGCTAAATAAATGCACTTCCACTTGAACATCTTTTGTTCAGTAGAGTCGTTATTAAAAACAAAAGATACAATCAAAAGGTTTGTTTTTAGTCATTCTCGAAAAATGGGAAGTCATTTCGAACAACATTAGTAAAAAAGGTAATGCTAATGTGTTTGAATAAAACAGTAAAGGAAGAAACTTGTATATAGATTTTAGTTCAACACTGCCTATATACTGGTGTAATGCGGGTTTCGCAGCGAATAGTAAAAACAAAATTATAAATAAAAAAATGTAGAATTAGTTTGTGGTACAGTCGTTTGTTTGCTTTGTACAAAAACTTATTTGCATAATATACATAACATGCCTAAATGGACAAATCTTTTTCTATCTATTTCTCAGCTACACAAAACTTATTATAAATTGATGGCTGTATCTCTCCCACAGAATAGTACATTATTATCTGCATGTATTGGGTGACTCACGTTTATGGCAATTGAAATGGTTTTTATAATGGCGGAATTGGCGTGATGTTCTAAACGAGAGATGCGTCAACTTCTATAAAACGACGTATTGTTGCTAGGAATACAGATATACTCCGAATACTATATGCTCCTGACGTGGATAACATAAATAAATTGACCGACATGATTTGAAACACGGAGCGAGGACAACTGAACAAAACTCTATTTTACATAAATCACGCATATTTACTTAAAAAATGTCAGTTTGCTAATCAGTTAGCACAGGGATGTGTAACCTGCAACACGCTGGCCGAATGCGCCATTAAGGAAAAATTGTGCCGCCCGCGGAAAAGTGCCAATTTCGAATGATGTGCGGCCCGCGAAACAAATTTTTAATTTAATTTGGTATGTGCGAGTAATTCCGATCCATTTGCCTTTCGAAGCCTTGAGTTCACTTTATTATTTATGACTATGCCTATGACTTTACAGTGTCTCAACAGCTAGCTTGTGCCAACAACGCATGCCACAAGATCAATAACCAAAATTGTTGCGCCTGCAACTACTAGATAGCCTATGTTAAGGTGCGGCCCGCGGTTCCATCCAGTCATTTTTATTTAGCGCTCCTGTATTAAATGCATTCTCACAGAATTCGCACACCCCTGGGTTAGCATAACGTTGTTTAGTGCGATTAGAATATTACCGCCTTCCATATGTGCGATTCGGAAAAAATAAACGCGACGAGTCCACGCACTTATTTCTCTTTCACATCGAAGATATAAATTATTATAGCTATCTAACATCCTTTTTTCCACAGGAAAGCAACAAATATTAATAATCGACAACCCACGCGTTTAGAAACCATATGTTTCCGATATACTAACTAAAATCTGGAAATTACTGATGGTGATGACGCTGAGCAGAAAATTTCACAGAAAGGCGGAAGAATGTTATATGCAATTCATCACCATGCTGTTCTAATAAATATAATTAATTGATTTCAGACGAGGGGTTGTAGATAATGAATTTTTGTGCTTTATTTTTCGCGAAGCTTGGGTGTAACTGCTTTGTCAGACCTATATACGGATTGTATTCAATATATATATACTTTGTAACCACTCGTTCCGAACAACTGTAGTAAAAAAGAGGTGCTCCCGTAGTATGTGTACCAAGATGGAGCACAACCTGAACATAGTATTAGTACCAGGTTAGGGTTGTGCGCCATCTTGGTACACACTACTTTTCCTCGATACGAAGATTATAGAAGGTGGCGGTACAGGGTGTAAAATTTACCTATCGTGATATAATTGTTTTGACATACGATTTGCTCAAAATTGCAATATTTGTGGTTTCAAACTAGTAGGCCAAGCAATACATTTTTCTCGGTCTTGTCCAAGCTAGATTATGACTCTTGAATTCTTTAGCTTCAACATCATGGATAATATACGGGGCAAGGTCAACGAGTTTGTAATGTTTTCACTGGAGTCATCGTCTACGCAAATTTAAGAGTCGAACTGAGAATTCCAGACTTCATTCGTGATGAGAAACAAGTTGAAATTTTGTACAGAAACTCGGAAAAACTACTAAACAATCTTTCATGCAAAACAAATTGTTTTTTTCATTGTTCGGATTTGATTTCGGAGTCAAAATTTTTTACAAACCGGATTTGGTTGTCGGAATCAAAAATTTTTTCACCCGGAAGGCAGATTGTATATCTGGCACCGAAGGAGGTTCTCTTTTGTGATTTGTATGACTATGTCTGTATAGAGTGTGGGAGCAATGTTATATATACTGTAATTATCAAGTAAAGTTGCTTTCACTGATCTAGAAAAAAATAAATTAAAAGCTGAAAAAGCAAGTACAAATTCCTTTCATGGATAAAATTAAACATGGTATGTGGGGTGTATGTTCATTGAACACTGAAAGACGTCACATTGTTAGGCTTCGTTGTTGGAGTTATACAGTCTTGTCTAGTGAGATGCGAGCACGTGCAATTTGAGTATCAGAGTTCTGAGTTAAATCCGCAAGTTGAATCTGGTTTAATAAATCGGTTTGGGTGAAAAACAGTACAATTTGGCGACGGTGATAATGAAGTACAGCGTGAAACATGAGAAAATATATATATTTTTAAATGGCATTTATATTATAACCCAGCAAAGTAAAACACAAAGTTTTGTTTTTTTCCAATGTTTAAACACTTTATCTATGTATATTGCTGAATTTTGATATGTAGCTGATTCATTATTATCTCTATTATCTATTGTTTCTGATTATTTAGTCAGGACAGACTTGACCAGTCAGGACCATTATGAGTTGGTCGAGATGATACGACTCCGATCTAGACCTGTTCGTTGTCTTGATTCTGTACACGAGGCTGAACCTTCGTTCACAGTCGACAATGGAGGCTTGGAAGGAAGAGCATATATTTTGGATCTATGTACTTATAAGCTAATGACCGCGTGTGCCTGAAGCTCGCGACTCAAGTCAGGAGCCGACAGCGCTTGCGCTCCGTAAAACTCAGCTCTGCTTCAAGTTCCAACTGGTCTAGCCTAATCATCTACGGGCAACCAACAAATTTCCTGTAACAAACAGTGGACACAAGCTTTACAACTATCTACCAAATACCTATTTAGATTTTAAACCTTCCATATCTTTATTAACTACGCTACGGACAACAAACAAACTTCGCCGGCGTGACAACACGAAGTTCATGGCGCGTAATAAGAATTTCGGAATGCGACAATGCGGATGGTAGCCCAGGCTAAAAACGCCCGTCTGAGATAAATCAAGGTACTCGGATGTAATGGACACGTGTGTGACAATAAAAAGTGCTAACCTGAATACACGTGAAACATGGAACAGGCATTTATCGCGGACGTTATAGTGTGGCGGGACTGATTTGTCCTATTTTTCATTGTTTTGTATTTTATTTATATTTAGTGTCTAGTTATTGCTAGGGCTGGGCATTTTCGAATACCTTGTGATAACAGAATCGAATCGAATAATTTTTTCGAATCGATCGAATCTTGAATACTTGGAAATATATAATTGGAAGCGACTTTTTATAGCAATTGGTCTTCTTAACAAATGAATTACTGTAGAAATAGAATACGTCACTCAGCATAGATTACTGAGCGTTAACAACCTAATAACAAACACGTTTTATCAATAACTCACTAGAGCCAGTGGTCGGCAACCTTTTTTCGGTGACGGACCGGTAAAGCCTGACCAAAATTTTGGCGGACCACCTTGTACAGACGGAATAAGCTTAAGTAATAAATTATATGGTGTTAGGATAAAAAGGTTGATATTAAATTCAGAGAATAAGATGATGTTATTCAAATAATGTGTTTTTTACGTTCAGCCTACTGCGATTTTGTAGTTGTCAATTTTAAAAACCCGACTTCACATAGATGTAAAAATGCCTGTGAAGCTTTTTTGCAACGCCGGGGTATTCAGTAAGTAGTATTGCCCAAAGACTGCCGAAGTACCCTATAAATCACAAAGACTCTTTCCAACTAATTATTGTTTGAGTTGTTAATCAACTAAATATGTTATTAGGACATTGTCCGTTTTTTGTGCCACGTTTCTGCGGACCGGTAGTAACCTTTCCGCGGACCGGCGATGGGCCGCGGCCCGGTGGTTGCCGACCACTGCACTAGAGAGTATAGTCATATGTTAGAATCGCGTTGAAAATATATGGCTTCAATTGGAAAAAAATTTGAAAATTCACCTCGACCATTGGCGGAAAGAAAAAAACAAGATGGCGGCGATTCGAAATTAAGCTCTGAACCTTTTCGAATAATTCACTATTCGATTCGAATATTCGATTCGAAATGCCCAGCCCTAGTTATTGGACACGTTTATTGGACACGTTTAGTGGCCATAACGATCGTTTCAAAATTTTGTTGTTATTGTTATTTGTCTCCGTCTCCATTTTAAAAAAATCGCTTTTCTCTTCGAATACTGGACCAATTGCTTTGATATTTTCAGTGGTTAAAGATAAAATTTTTCTCCAGAAGGCTATTACTTTTTTTTTTTTTCGCTATGACGCCATCAAAATTATTGCCACTGGATGGCGCTACGTGTTCATATGTTTGAGCATAGCTCTCTTGTTGCATATGCATTGGTGTGTGGAGTCTGAGCCCTAATTCGCCCAACAGTTAGATTCAGTTAC